GGGGAGTCAGCTTGCAGGTCGAAGGGACTGGTGGCCACGGGAGGTAATGACAGGGGAGTCAGCTTGCAGCTCGAAGGGACTGGTGGCCACGGGAAGTAGTGACAGATGAGTCAGCTTGTAGTTCGAAGGGACTGGTGGCCACGGGAAGTAATGACAGGGGAGTCAGCTTGAAGCTCGAAGGGACTGGTGGCCACGGGAAGTAATGACAGGGGAGTCAGCTTGCAGCTCGAAGGGACTGGTGGCCACGGGAGGTAATGACAGGGGAGTCAGCTTGCAGCTCGAAGGGACTGGTGGCCACGGGAGTTAATGACAAGGGGGTCAGCTTGCAGTTTTAGGGGACTGGTGGCCACGGGAGGTAATGACAGGGGAGTCAGCTTGCAGCTCGAAGGGACTGGTGGCCACGGGAAGTAGTGACAGATGAGTCAGCTTGTAGTTCGAAGGGACTGGTGGCCACGGGAGGTAACGACAGGGGAGTCAGCTTGCAGTTTGAAGGGACTGGTGGCCACGGGAGGTAATGACAGGGGAGTCAGCTTGCAGTGTGAGTGGACTGGTGGCCACGGTCGGTACTGACAGGGGAGTCAGCTTGTAGTTCGAAGGGACTGGTGGCCACGGGAAGTAATGACAGGGGAGTCAGCTTGCAGTTCGAAGGGACTGGTGGCCACGGGAGGTAATGACAGGGGAGTCAGCTGGCAGTTTGAAGGGACTGGTGGCCACGGGAGTTAACGACAGGGGAGTCAGCTTGTAGTTCGAAGGGACTGGTGGCCACGGGAGTTAACGACAGGGGAGTCAGCTTGGAGTTCGAAGGGACTGGTGGCCACGGGAGGTAATGACAGGGGAGTCAGCTTGTAGTTCGAAGGGACTGGTGGCCACGGGAAGTAATGACAGGGGAGTCAGCTTGTAGTTCGAAGGGACTGGTGGCCACGGAAAGTAATGACAGGGGAGTCAGCTTGCAGTTCGAAGGGACTGGTGGCCACGGGAGTTAATGACAGGGGAGTCAGCTTGTAGTTCGAAGGGACTGGTGGCCACGGGAATGGTTGAGATTAGGAGCGTCGGCAGGTGACGGAAGAGGATGGTGGGGTCTGCTGGTGGAGCGAGCGTCCAGAGCCAGCGAGAAGGTTCGGGAAGCGGTCCGTAGCCTCAGTCCGTATATAAGGGGGAGATGCGCGGGAGACTCTGGGCTGTTGCAGTGGGGGTCTCCGCCTGTTCGAGTGAACGCGTCTCATCCAATAAAGACACCATCTCAAGACAAGTTTTTAAAATCGTCACACTAATAATGAATTACTCGCACATTCTACCACGCCCCCCCCCCCCCATTTCAAATCACGAATGGTTGCGTCAAGCTACGCGGGGATACGTCTCGTCCAATCAGATCTGCTGTTGCTGGGTGGGGGGGGGGACTATGACCAATAGAATTCGCGCTTATATCGCCGCTCGTCATGCCGCCGGAGCGGCCGCTGTAGTTCCCGCTTCCTTAGCGTGGGACCAACAATTACAGTAATAATAATTAGTAACATTGTTTTATATATATTTTATTATTTTATTGTTTCCCTTTAACGTGACTTTACCGAAGAGCTAAGAATATAGTTCCATTGCTGTTGCTGAAAACATATACATAGCTATAATGGTGTAGGGGACTAAATAGAGAATCAACGATTCATGATATATATTTGTTTTAAAACACAGGTGCAGAGAGAAATTCTAAAGGGGACATGTGGCAGAGAGATCAGTAAACAGGGGGCGCTGTGGATAATTAATGAGGGCGCACTTCAGCAGTCGAGGACTCGTGGTTGAAAGTCGATTGATTGATTGGAAGGTACTGCAGAGAGAGACGACACGTGGTGGATACTTAAGGGGGGGGGGGCAGACATATATAGAAAGAAATGGAACTTTACCGGCAGTAGTGGGCGCTTGACTGGGACGAAGACTCCGCGCGTGTAGCTAAAAGCTGGAGCTGTTACTCGTCAAGGAGTTGTGGAAACCCCTCTGCAACCTTTTTTTATTAAAAAAAAAACGTGTTTTATCTTCGTCTTCTTCAGAACCTCGTCGGATGCTTCTTTGCAATCGTGATAAGTAATATTTGAAAGCAACTTTTTTTTAAACACGCTTTAATGGAATGTACCGGACTAGTAATGTAAGAACTCCACGACGCCAGAAGTGGCCATGAAGCTCGCCACAACGTAAGGGGACCGTGGCCAATTACAGCCAAACGTCAGTTGAGCGTGGACAATTAGAGCCAAGCCGAAACATAACGTATAAAAAATAATATTCTTGGTTCTTTCGGTAAAGTCACCACGTAGAAGGGAAACAATAAAATAATAAAAATATAAAACAATACAATTCTCACGACGTTTCGACTGCAACACCAAGCAATCATCATCAGGTGTGAAAACCACACCCGTAGAAAGGAAACAATAAAATAATAAAAATATAAAACAATTAAATTATCACGACGTTTCGACTGCAACACAAGCAATCATCATCAGGTGTGAAAACCACACCCGTAGAAGGGAAACAATAAAATAATAAAAATATAAAGCAATAAAATTCTCACGACGTTTCGACTGCAACATAAGCAATCATCATCAAATTGTCTTGATGTGGTTTTCACACCTGATGATGATTGCTTGTGTTGCAGTCGAAACGTCGTGAGAATTTTATCGTTTTATATTTTATTGTTTTATTGTTTCCCTTCTACGTGGTGACTTTACCGAAAGAACCAAGAATATGAATCCCTGCAGTCACGAAAGCTTTAAATAGAAAAAATTAAAAAAAATGTTTAAAAAAGTTGTATTATAGAATCTAGTATTGCCATCAGTATGACATTGGCATACCAAGCTTGCAGTCGATACCACATTGGGAAGTGGGTTACAATCGAGTTACAAGATTTGAGGATACAACAACAACGACAACAACAGTGAGTTAAATAAAATCGTGTAATGAATAACGTCATTTGCTTTAATAGTAGGGTGGTTTTTCCCCTTTTTTCTGGCAACAAAACTGAAACCTTTTTACAAGGATTCATGTTTACTGCATTAACCACAATACCTGCAGTCAAACGCAAACAAAAAACATACTATGATAATATGATGCATTGTCCTTGAAACTGATTGGTCCACACCAAGGGACGGCTTTCTTTTGAGCCTCTACCCAAGGACAATGCCAATATATTATCATAGTATGTGTTTAGTTTGCATTTTGACTGCAGGTATTGTGGTTAATGCAGTAAACATGAATCCTTGTTAAAAGGTTTCAGTTTTGTTGCCAGAAAAAAGGGGAAAAACCACCCTATTATTATATTTTGGTACTGGTAAAGGAGGTCTAATGATGTAGATGCTCACCCCGAGCCTTCATTACTTTGATTGTGCATTGTCTTTGAGCTGTTTGATGCCTTTTGGCGTCCTCTGGTCGAGCACCAATTGGGTCGAGGCTCAAAAGAAAGCCGTCCCTTGGTGTGGACCAATCAGTTTCAAGGACAATGCCAATATATTATCATAGTATGTGTTTAGTTTGCATTTTGACTGCAGGTATTGTAGGTTAATGCAGTAAACATGAATCCTTGTAAAAAAAAGGTTTCAGTTTTGTTGCCAGAAAAAAGGGGAAAAACCACCTAATTATTACATTTTGGTACTGGCAAAAGGAGGTCTAATGATGTCATTTGCTTTGTCACGCTCCTTCACGGCGCGCTGAAGCCAACGTGTTTCTGCTGTCGTTGAGCGAGTTGGTGAGAACCGTGATCATGATTTCGATTTACGTGGGCTAATGTTATCGCTATCTCTTTTTTTCAGTCACTTTCATTGAACTTGCCCTGCTGTCTGCTTATATTCGTTCAAATCTTTGACGCTTTTAACATCGTCCGGATCTACGAAGACCTAACGAGCGGACGTTTTCTACACAAGACTCCGTCCAGTGCCGGATTGTCCTCGTAGCAAAAGTAGCTACATGTTAAATTTTGATTTAAAGCTTTCGTGACTGCAGGGATTCATATTATTGGTTCTTTCGGTAAAGTCACCACGTTAGAAGGGAAGTGGTATTGGTGCCATCTGGTGGTGCCATCTCGTGGTGGTGCCATCTCGTGGTATTGGTGCCATCTCGTGGTGCCATCTCGTGGTGCCATCTGGTGGTATTGGTGCCACCTCGTGGTGCCATCTCGTGGCATTGATGCCAACTCATGGTCCCACCTCGTGGTATTGGTGCCATCTCGTGGTGCCACCTCGTGGTATTGGTGCCATCTCGTGGTGCCATCTGGTGGTGCCATCTCGTGGTGCCATCTCGTGGTGCCACCTCGTGGTATTTGTGCCATCTCGTGGTGCCACCTCGTGGTGCCATCTCGTGGTGCCACCTCGTGGTGCCACCTCGTGGTATTTGTGCCATCTCGTGGTGCCACCTCGTGGTATTTGTGCCATCTCGTGGTGCCATCTCGTGGTGCCACCTCGTGGTGCCACCTCGTGGTGCCATCTCGTGGTGCCACCTCGTGGTGCCATCTCGTGGTGCCACCTCGTGGTATTTGTGCCATCTCGTGGTGCCACCTCGTGGTATTTGTGCCATCTCGTGGTGCCATCTCGTGGTGCCACCTCGTGGTGCCACCTCGTGGTGCCATCTCGTGGTGCCACCTCGTGGTGCCATCTCGTGGTGCCACCTCGTGGTATTGGTGCCACCTCGTGGTGCCATCTCGTGGTGCCACCTCGTGGTGCCATCTCGTGGTGCCACCTCGTGGTGCCACCTCGTGGTATTTGTGCCATCTCTCGTGGTGCTACCTCGTGGCCACTCGCAGTGCTGCGCCTTTAACACAACCACCGAGGCATGGCCAACCCATAGAATCGATTCCTTCCGTTAATTAAAAAAAACCTCCAGTGATCGAACACCGATTCCTATAAGGCCGCGCGTTTAACCTGTGACCTGAAAATCGATTCCTCATGCCCGCTTTCCGAATCTCTCTCCGCGAATGCGTTTCCGACGCGGGAATCGACCCGCCATCCTATCGGGATCGATAGATTCCGAATCTCGCTATGCGTCGCAAAACGACGGAGGAATCGGCCGCGGGCGATTTTCGTTTTAACATAGAGTCGAGTGGAATCGATCCGCCTTCCTTCTCCCATCGCTGCAGTAGGTACACGTGTCTTAGACCCCGGGCGCCGCGTGAGCCAAGTCGTAAGTAGTCCATTCCCTCCCACCTCCTCTCCACCTCATCGGGAGGGGACCCACCCCGTCCCCTAACGCCCCGGCGGCCTCTCGCGGAAAGATGCCACGCAGATCGGTAGCGTTGTCGCGTTGCGCGGTGCTAGTAGGCCGCGCTCGGGCCCCCCGGCCTTGCCTGGTTCGGTCGCGGAGTTTTGGTGACGGGGAGCGGTTGGGGTTGGGGGTTTGGGGGGTGTGGTGCAGGTCCGGACGTTGAGATTTATAAGGGGCACCACGGGGTTGACCAATACGGGCTGAATTGGTCCGTAAGACGGTAGGGCACTGATGAGGGGTTGACAGGTTTGCACTCTATAAACTACACACCGCGATACACTCCTATAGCATACTATACACTATTATACACTACACTATACACTACTATACACTTATACACCGCTATACACTACACTATACACTGCACCACTATACACTGCTGTACACTACTATACACTACACTTTACACTACTATACCCTACACTATACACTACTAAACACTACACTAGACACTACACTATACACTACACTATACACTGATATACACTACACTATATACTACTATACACTACACTATCCACTACTATACCCTACACTATACACTACTATACACTACACTTTACACTACTATACACTACACTATACACTGCTAAACACTACACTATACACTTATACACTACTATACACTACATACACTATACACTACACTATCATAGCTGTCAATCCATACGGTTTAACCCGTATTCTTGTACAGGGTAAATTAAGTTTTCAGGTCCGTACGGCGTACAGCCGTTTCAATGCGGGCAAAATAAAATAGCGTGTCTGTGTTTCTCTCTTGTGATGGTACTTCATAGGATGAACGTTGCTATTTATAAGGGGCACGGGGTGAATAACAAGGTCTGAATTGGTCTGCAATAAGGTAGGACGCTGATAAGGTGTCGACGGCTAAGCACGCTCACCTTCTCAACAGCGTTGGCCGAGTGTCTCTTGGCACGACCCTACGAGAAATACCCCTACGAGAAATACCCCGACGCGCGTGTTGCCTTACTGGCGACGTGGTTGTCAAATGGCCATTGCGAACCCGCCGGGAGACACGGGCACGCGGGGGGGGTGGGGAGGGGGGTTCGAACCCAGGTTCTCGACTGACGCGACCCAACGTGAACACCGTGACCTGGAGTGTCATGGTGTCAAGTGGAGCTGACGTGGCCCAACGTGAACGCCGCGATCCGGAGTCTCACGCTCGCAAGTGGAGCTGACGAGGCCCCACGTGAACGCCGCGACCCGGAGTCTCACGCTCGCAAGTGGATCTCAAGCGGCCTATTCAGAACCCCCATGCCCCGTCCGAGAAGACGCTTAAGCTTAGACAAAGATATTCCGGTGTTTAAACCGTAAGGGTACATTTTGGGGGGGATGCTGGGAATGTCGCGGCAGGAGTAAGGGTGAATAACTGGGAGTGGGGTGCCGGGGGAGGGGGGGGGTTGTGGTGGGTGTGATGCGTGCAGGGTGGATGAGGAGACTGCGAGGAGCTTTGTAACTTGTTCATCGTAACGGCCTTTGGGTTAGATCGCGAAACGTCGCACTGCTCACATTGTAAGTGTTGTTTATTGACTCCATGACACACTTGTTGAGCTGACGTAGAATACTACACACTACACTTTACACTACACTTTACACTACACTTTACACTACACTTTACACTACACTTTACACTACACTTTACACTACACTTTACACTACACTATACGCTACAGACTACACTGTATTACTAACTAATCGGCGCGTTTTGCTCGCGTGACGAAACCTCACTGGCTGTGCCGGGTGGCGGAGGAGGGTCACGACACGTTTAGATTCGACGCGCTCTAACCCGAACACCTCTCGTGAGTAATTTCCGCACTTGACGGGCGATGGGAGGCGGCTCGAGTTGTCCAGAGTCCTGCCCCCGTCGTCCGACGTCCGGAGCCGCCTCCTCCTCCTCACTGTCGCCCCCTCCGCGTCTCTCCGCAGGCTCTTCGCGGCCATGGAGTACCTTGGAGAGCCGACCCAGGGCAGTCAGGGAAAAATGTGAGCAACTTCTTGCGACACGCGCGTGTGTGCGTGTGTGCGTGTGTGTGTGTGTTGGGGGGGGGGGTAAAGGAAGTAGCGGTTAGCGCTGTGCTGTGAACACGGGCAATGAGTTTAGATTCCCGCTCACGGTCAGCATCCGTGACGATTATCTGAACCGGTCCCGGGCCTCCTCCCCTAGGTCGATTCGGCCTCAAATGAGTACCTGGTGCTGTGTGTAGTAAACATCGCCACTGGGGAGACAAAGGCGGCCCGGCGTGGTGCTGGCCACCCACCCCCTCGTGTACCGTTCCGGCCTTCATAGGTGCTCGCTAACAGCACTTGCCCCGACAGTCTGTTGAGGCTATGCGGGGTATCTTTATCTTTGTACGTCTTGAGTGGGCGTGGTGGCGTTGGACACTCACCCCTCCCCCCGTGTTGCCACAGTGCCGGCGGCCTTCGTAGACGCTGCTGCTTACTCGCGAGCAGCACTTGCCCCAGCAGTCTGTTGAGGCTACACGGGGGACCTTTGTCTTGTGCCCGGCCTTCACGGGTACTCCTCGCTAGCAGCACTTGCCCCAGCAGTCTGTTGAGGCTACACGGGGGACCTTTGTCTTGTGCCCGGCCTTCACGGGCACTCCTCGCTAGCAGCACTTTGCCCCAGCAGCCTGTTGAGGCTACACGGGGGGGGGGGAAGCTTTTGTCACGTGGCTTTTTGAACGGCTACGTGAGAAATGGTGCGCTCGTCACACGTGACCCACCTGTACCTCTCGCGCCCCCCTTGGCCGCGTCAAGGGGGGGCGTGAACCACCATCGCTGGAAACTCCGGCCATGGTCACAGCGGCGGCTCCTGGCTCGCCGTCGGACAAAGACGGCCGTCTGGAACGCGCCTCTCCCTCCCGACTATTAGGGATCCGCTGGGGAGCTGCGATTGAGCTTTTTAAATCGTCACCGAGGGTTGACAAACGCATTTGTTGTTGTCGTGTTCAGTTTGTTGTCCCCTGCGCCTCCCCGGCTACGTGCGGAGCGAAAGAATTTCCAGCGTGCGCGTCCGTGTCTGCGCGCAGCCTGTGTTGCCAGTGCGGGGTGCCCATCCCGCCGAACGCGGCCAACACCTGCGTCTCCTGCCTGCGCACCCAGGTGGACATCACCGAGGGAATTCCCAAGCAGGGCTCCGTCTACTTCTGCAAGCAGTGCGAGCGGTGGGTATCGTCGAATTTCGGCCGAGAAGCCGAGCTCGGGGACCCCCCCAACCCCCCCCCTCCCCCGCCCCCGGCCCGGGTACAAACCCGCGTTTGAGCCGCCCGCCTGTGTGTGAACACGCGCACGTGTGTGTGTGTGTGTGAATACGTGCACGTGTGTGTGTGTCAACACGTGCACGTGTGTGTGTGAACACGCGCCTGTGTGTGTGTGTGAACACGTGCACGTGTGTGTGTGAACACGTGCACGTGTGTGTGTGTGAACATGCGCCTGTGTGTGTGTGTGAACACGTGCACGTGTGTGTGAACACGCGCCTGTGTGTGTGTGTGTGTGAACACGTGCACGTGTGTGTGCGTGTTCACACACACACACGCACGCGTGTGTGTGTGTGAACATGCGCCTGTGTGTGTGTGTGAACACGTGCACGTGTGTGTGGGAACACGTGCCTGTGTGTGTGTGTGAACACGTGCACGTGTGTGTGCGTGTTTACACACACACACACGTGCACGTTCTTACGCACACGGAGGCGGTGAACGGCGGTGACGTCGCCACGGCGCCTGCGCCAGGCTAGGTGCACCGTGGAAGGACGTTCGCCGGCCTTGGCAGGCCGCTGGGTGCCGCTCGCGCTCGGCCCCCCCGGCCCCCTTCCGGCCCCCCGCAGGATGCTGAAGGCCACGTGGGGGGGCCCTCTGTCTGTGTGCGACCCGCAGCTACCTGCAGCCGCCCGGCACGTGGGTGCACTGCGCGCTGGAGTCACGCGAGCTGCTGGCCCTCTGCCTCAAGAAGCTCAAGGGGCCCCTGAGCAAGGTGAGGGCCTGCGGCGAGCGTGGGTGGGCGGGCGTTGGGGGGTGGGTGGGCGGGTGAGCGTGGGTGGGCGGGTGAGCGTGGGTGGGTGGGTGAGCGTGGGTGGGTGGGCGGGTGAGCGAGCGTGGGCGGGTGGGTGGGTGTGTGAGCGTGGGTGAGCGTAGGTGGGCGGGTGAGCGAGCGTGGGTGGGCGAGCGAGCGTGGGTGGGGGTGAGCGAGCGTGGGTGGGGGCGAGCGAGCGTTGGTGGGCGAGCGTGGGCGGGTGAGCGTAGGTGGGTGTGTGAGCGTGGGTGGGGGTGAGCGAGCGTGGGTGGGTGAGCGAGCGTGGGTGGGGGTGAGCGAGCGAGCGTGGGTGGGGGTGAGCGTGTGTGTGTGTGCGTAGGTTCGTCTGATCGACGCTGGCTTCATCTGGACGGAGCCTCACTCCAAGCGCATCAGGGTGAAGCTCACCATCCAGAAGGAGGTACCGCTGCTGCTGCCAGTCGCTGGCGACCTCTCTTGACCCCGGCAGTCCGTTTGTTTGTGTGGGTGGGTGGGTGTGTGTGGGTGTGTGTTTGTTTGTGTGTGGGTGGGTGTGTGTGTTTGTGTGTGTGTGGGTGTGTGTGTTTGTTTGTGTGTGTGTGCGTGTCTTTGTTTGTGTGTGGGTGGGTGTGTGTGTTTGTACGTTTGTTTGTGTGTGTGTTTCTGTGTTTGTGTGTGTGGGTGTGTGTTTCTTTGTTTGTGTGTGTGTGTGTGTGTTTGTGTGTGGGTGGGTGTGTGTGTGTTTGTTTGTGTGTGTGCGTGTCTTTGTTTGTGTGTGGGTGGGTGTGTGTGTTTGTGTGTTTGTTTGTGTGTGTGTTTTTGTGTTGTGTGGGTGTGTGTGTGTTTCTTTGTTTGTGTGTGGGTGGATGTGTGTTTGTGTGTGGGTGGGTGTGTGTGTGTGTTTGTTTGTGTGTGGGTGTGTTTGTGTGGGTGTGTGTGTGTTTCTTTGTTTGTGTGTGGGTGGATGTGTGTTTGTGTGTGGGTGGGTGTGTGTATTTGTTTGTGTGTGGGTGTGTTTGTGTGTGTGTTTGTGTGGGTGAGTGTGTGTTTGTTTGTGTGTTGGTGGGTGTGTGTTTGTATTTGTGTGTGTGTGTGGGTGTGTTTGTGTGTGGGTGTGTGTGTGTTTGTGTGTGTGTTGGTGGGTGTGTTTGTATTTGTGTGTGTGTGGGTGTGTGTTTGTGTGTCTGTGTGTGTGTGTATGTGTGTGTGTATGTGTGTGTGTATGTGTGTATGTATGTATGTGTGGTAGTGTAGTAGCGGTTAGCGCTACGCTGCGCTGTGAACCCGGCGACCCGGGTTCGATTCCCGCTCTCACGGCCAACGCCACCGGCGACGATTATCTGAACCGGCCCCGGGCCTCCCCTAGGTCGACTCGGCCTGAGACGAGTACCTGGTGTGGCGCTGTGCGCTGAACATCGCCACAGGGGAGAGACAAACCCGGCCGGGCATGGCGCAGTCCACCCTCCCCTGCCAACTCGCTAGCAGCACTTACCCCGGCAGTCTTTGCCGAGGCTACACGGGGGACCTTTGTCTCTGTGCGCAGGTGATGAACGGCGTGGTGCTGCAGCAGGTGTTCGTCCTCGAGCTCATCGTGAGCCACCAAATGTGCGACGATTGCCACCGTGTGGAGGCCAAGGACTTCTGGAAGGCCGTCGTGCAGCTGCGGCAGAAGGTGTGGCCTGCTGCGTCCCACTCCACTGTCCGTGGCTCCCTGTTCCTCGTGTCTCCGTGTCCCCGTGTCTCCCTGTGTCTCCCTGTCCCCGTGTCTCCCTGTCTCCGTGTCCCCGTGTCTCCCCGTGTCTCCCTGTTCCCCGTGTCTCCCTGTCCCCGTGTCTCCCTGTCCCCGTGTCTCCCTGTCCCCGTGTCTCCGTGTCCCCGTGTCTCCCCGTGTCTCCCTGTTCCCCGTGTCTCCCTGTCCCCGTGTCTCCCTGTCCCCATGTCTCCCTGTCCCCGTGTCTCCCCGTGTCTCCCTGTTCCCCGTGTCTCCCTGTCCCCGTGTCTCCCTGTTCCTCGTGTCTCCGTGTCCCTGTGTCTCCCTGTCCCCGTGTCTCCCTGTCCCCGTGTCTCCCTGTCCCCGTGTCTCCCTGTCCCCGTGTCTCACTGTGTCTCCCTGTTCCCCGTGTCTCCCCGTGTCTCCCTGTTCCCCGTGTCTCCCTGTTCCCGTGTCTCCCTGTTCCCCGTGTCTCCCTGTCTCCGTGTCTCCCTGTCCTCGTGTCTCCCTGTCCCCGTGTCTCCCCGTGTCTCCCTGTCCCCGTGTCTCCCCGTGTCTCCCTGTCCCCATGTCTCCCCGTGTCACCCTGTCCCCGTGTCTCCCCGTGTCTGCTTGTCCCCGTGTCACCCTGTCCTCGTGTCTTCCCGTGTCTCCCTGTTCCTCGTGTCTCCCTGTCCCTGTGTCTCCCCGTCCCCGTGTCTCCCTGTCCCCGTGTCTCCCCGTGTCTCCCTGTCCCCGTGTCTCCCAGTCCCCGTGTCCCCCTCTCCCCCCCCCCACCCCCACCGGACCCCCCGGTCTCTTACCGCTTTTTCCACTGCACGAGCCGTGCCGTGCCGGACCCGTGCCGACCCGGTCATCCGTGTGTGTGTGTCCCCCCCCCCGCCGCCCTGGTGCAGGCTTCTCACAAGAAGACCTTCTACTACTTGGAACAGCTGATCCTGAAGCACCGCATGCACCAGCACACGCTGAACATCAAGGAGGTGCACGGTGAGGGAGTTCGCCGCGATGCACCGCTGGGCCCGGCCACCACGTTAAGAGGCGGTGCGGTGGGAGGGGATACAGCGTTGCTCCCTCTCCCCCCTTGCGACGACCGCTCGTCTCTTGGGAGTGTGCGCGCCGCTGTCGGCGCGCGTTTACTCCCCTCGCCGGGTGCGCGGGAGGTCGTGGGTTCGATCCCGACACCTGACCCCTGCTGTACATCTGGAGTTTGCGTCTCTCTCTCTCTCCCCGTGGTGAGACGTTAACTACCCTCGCCGGGTGCACGGGAGGTCGTGGGTTCGATCCCGACACCTGACACCTGCTGTACATCTGGAGTTTGTGTCTCTCTTTCTCCCCGTGGTGAGATGTTGACTACCTCGCCTGGTGCACGGGAGGGCGTGGGTTTCATCCCGACCCTGACGACGCCTGCTGCTGCTGCTGTATATGTGGAGTCTGCGTCTCTCTCTCTCTCTCATCATCATCACGGTGGCTATGAGATGTTGACTACCTCGCCCGTTATGCAGGAGGTCGCGGGTTCCATCCCGACCCTGACGATGCCTGCTGCTACTCTATGGTTTTTTCGGTAAAGTCACGTATGTAGAAATACGATAAAATTATGTTAAAACAAAAAACAATCACGACGTTTCGATCACAACGCAAGCGATCTTCATCGGGCGTCAAGAACAAATCACGGAGGTAAATACAACAAAAAGATGAGAGACGAGAATTCAACAAACCTGAAAAAAACATTACGTGAAGCCACATCCAGTCAGGCCAACGACACAGTTAGACACTTCCTGGCGGACCACGAATGTCAGAAGAGTGTTACATTTCGGATTGCACATACGAGCGTAGATAGAATGAAAAATAGGAGGTACACGGTCAGTAGAAATACATCTACACAAGTCCACCAAGAGGTAAGGAGGGAGGAAAGACAGACAGGGAGGCAGAGGAGGCTGCTGTACAGTGAGGGAAAAAAAGTATTTGATCCCCCGCTGATTTTGTACGTTTGCCGACTGACAAGGAAATGATCAGTCTATAATTTTAATGGTAGGTTTATTTGAACAGTGAGAGACAGAATAACAACAACAACAAGAACATCCAGAAAAACGCGTGTCAAAAATGTTATACGTTGATTTGCATTTTAATGGCGTGCCGCGGCGTGCCGTGTGGCTCTGTGCAGGGGGACTGGACTTTTACTTTGGGTCAAAACAGGAAGCACGCAAGATGGTGGAGTTCTTCAACACCGTGGTGCCTTGCAGGTCGCCCACTCCTCACCCGCCCACCCACCTGCTCGCTCGCTCACCCACCTGCCCACCCACTCTGTCACTCGCCCACCCACCTGCTCACCCATCCACCTGCTCACCCACTCGCTCACCCACTCGCTCACCCACCCACCTGCTCACCCACTCACCCACTTACTCGCTCACCCGCCCATCTGCTCACCCGCCTGCTCACTCACTCGCCCACCCACCCACTCGCTCTCTCATCCGCCCACCTGCTCACCCACCCACTCACTCACTCGCCCACCCGCTTGCTCACCCACCCGCTCGCTCACCCGCCCACCTGCTCACCCGCCCATCTGCTCACCCACTCGCCCACCCGCTGACTCGTTCGCCCACTCACCTGCTCGGCTCACCCACTTGCTCACCCGCTCGCCCACCTGCCCACCCACTCAGTCACCCGACCACCCACCCGCTCACCCACCCACCCACCCCCTCACCCGCTCACCCACCCACCCCCTCGCCCGCCCGCCCGCCCCGCTCGCCCGATTGACTCCGCCGGGCCGGGCCGCTCTCCGCCCGACCTCCGCAGGTTCAAGACTTCGGAGCGCCTCATCTCGCACGACGTGCACAGCAACACCTACAACTGTAAGAGCGCCTACTCCGTGGAGATCGTCCCCGTGTGCAAGGTGAGCGCCCGGACGGGGGGAGAGACAAAGGCGGCCGGGCGCGGTGGCCGGCCACCCGCACACCCACCTCGTGTGTCCACGGTGCCGCCGGCCGGTCCGCTAACAACGGCGCCGGCCTCTCCACCTGGCCGTTGTTTCTCTCCGGCAGGGCGACGTGGTGTACCTCTCACCGGCGCTCGCCCGTTCCCTGGGCAACCTGGGGCAGGTGTGCGTGTGTGCCCGCGTCACCTCGGCCATCCACCTCATCGACCCCAGCACCCTGCAGGGTACCGATACCACCACCCCCGCCGCCGCGACGCGTCGCTCCGCGCTGGTGCGGCGGTGTCGCTGTTGTTGTTGTTGTTGTAGTTGTTGTTGTTGTTGTAGTTGTAGTTGTTGTTGTTGTAGTTGTTGTTGTAGTAGTTGTTGTTGTTGTAGTTGTTGTAGTAGTTGTTGTAGTAGTTGTTGTTGTTGTTGTAGTTGTTGTTGTTGTTGTAGTTGTTGTTGTAGTTGTTGTTGTAGTTGTTGTTGTTGTAGTAGTTGTTGTTGTTGTAGTTGTTGTTGTAGTAGTTGTTGTTGTAGTAGTTGTTGTTGTAGTAGTAGTTGTTGTAGTAGTTGTTATTGTTGTAGTAGTTGTTGTTGTGGTTGTCGTCGTAGTAGTTGTTGTTGTTGTTGTAGTAGTAGTAGTTGTTGTCGTAGTCGTTGCTGTTGCTGTTGTTGTGGCGGTTACGGTGAGCGTTGTGGCGGCGGTGGTGGCGGCGGTGCGGGGGGTAGCGGTTGTGGCGGTGAGTGGTGGTGGTGGTGAGTGGTGAGCGGTGGTGAGTGGTTGTGGTGGTGAGTGGGGGGGTGGTGAGTGGGGGGGTGGTGAGTGGGGGTGGTGGTGAGTGGGGGTGGTGAGTGGGGGGGTGGTGAGTGGGGAGCGGTGGTGAGTGGTGGTGAGTGGTGGTGGTGGTGAGTGGTGGTGGTGGTTGTGAGCGGTGGCGAGTGGTGGGGGTGGTGGTGAGTGGGGAGCGGTGGTGAGTGGTGGTGGTGAGCGGTGGTGAGTGGTGGGGATGGTGGTGAGCGGTGTGCTCATTGTGGTGGTTGTGGTTGTGGTGGTGTTGTTGTTGTTGGTGGTGGCGGTAGTGGCGGAGGTCAGTGGGGCGGTGTTCTGGAGGGAGCCGTTTAGTGCCCTGTCAACTCCTCGTTCCTTCACCTCGTTCATCGTCCTGGACGTGGAGCCGCTCCGGGATCAGCGGCGCACCGCCGGGTCCGGAGCCACCTCCTCGCGGGTAACAACAACAACAACCACAGCAACCACCACAACAACAACCACAACAACCACAGCAACCACCACAACAACTACAGCAACCACCACAACCATCACTACCACCACAATCACTACCACCACAACCACCACCATCACTACCACAACAACCACAACAACCACCACAACAACCACAACCACCACAACCACCACTACGACTACCACTACCACCACAACCATCACTACCACAACCACCACCACAACCACCACCACAACCACCACCACAACCATCACTACCACCACCACAACCACCATATTCACTACCACCACCACAACCACCACCACAACCACCAGCAATATTACCACAACCATCACTACCACAACCATTACTACCACAACCACCACCACTACTACCACAACCATCACTACCACAACAACCACCACAACGACCACAACAACCACTACCACCACCACCACCACAACCATCACTACCACCACAACCACCACAATCACAACCACCACAATCACTACTACCACAACCACCACCATCACTACCACCACCACAACCACCACTGTCACTACCACAACCACCACCACAACAACCACCACCATCACTACCACCACCACAACCATCACTACCACTACCACAACCATCACTACCACAACCACCAGCACTACCACCACAACCACCACAACAACCACCACAACAACCACTACCACCACAACCAACACCACAACCATCACTACCACCACAACCACCACCACAACCACCACAATCACAACCACCACAATCACTACTACCACAACCACCACCATCACTACCACCACTACCACCACTGTCACTACCACCACAACCACCACCACCACGACCACCTCCATCATGGCCACCACCACTACCATCACCACCATGACCACCACCACAACCACAACCACCACAACTACCACCATGATCACCACCATAACCACCACCACTACGACCATCACTACCACCATGATCGCAACCACCACGACCACAACCACTACCATCACCATCATGACCACCACCACAACCACCACCACAACCACCACAACTACCACCACGATCACCACCACGACTGCCGGCACCCAGTTCGATTCGAGCTCACAGCCACAGCGATGTTGCGTGGTCAACAGCGCCACTGGGGGAGACAAAGGCGGCCGGGCGTGGTGCTGGTAGCCACCCACCCCCTCTAGGTGTGCCACAGTGCCGGTAGCCTTCACAGCACTTGCCCCTACAGCCTGTTAGAGGCTACACGGGGGACCTTTGTCTGTGTCTACCTTCACAGGCGCTGCTGCTACTCGCTACTAACAGCACTTGCCCCTACAGCCTGTTAGAGGCTACACGGGGGACCTTTGTCTTGTGGCCTCTGTGAAAATGTATTGAAGTGTAAATTATGATTGCGTGTGTGTGTGCGCGCGCGTGTGTGTGTGCCTGTGTTTGTGCATGTGTGTGTGTGCATGTGTGTGTGTGTGCATGTGTGTGTGTGCGTGTGTGCACGTGTGGGCATGTGCGTGTGTGTGTGCGTGCGTGTGTGGGCACGTGTGTGTGCGTGCGTGTGTGGGCACGTGTGTGTGTGTGCGTGCATGTGTGTGTGCGTGTGTGCACGCGTGGGCATGTGCGTTTGTGTGCGTGTGTGCGTGCGTGTGTGCGTGTGTGGGCGTGTGTGCATGTATGTGTGTGCGTGTGTATGTGTGGGCGTGTGTGTGTGCGTGCGTGTGTGTGTGCGCGTGTGTGTGTGTGCGCGTGTGGGCACATGTGTGTGTGTGCGTGCGTGTGTGCAGCATGTGCTGGCAGAGGTCTGGTTGCAGCGGTGGAACGAGGTTGGCACAGGGGAGCAGCTGCACACTCGCACGCACCTGGGTCACCTGCTCAAGCCAGGAGACAGAGTGCTGGGGTACTGACACACACACGGATATACACGGATATACACACGAACACACAGACACACACACACGGACACACACACGGACACCCACACGGAGACACACACACACGGATATACACACACACACGGATATACACACACACACGGATATACACACACAGACACTCACACACTCTCACACACACACATGCTCTCACACACACACACACTCTCTCACACACACGCTCTCACACACACACGCTCTAACACACACTCTCACACACACACGCTCTAACACACACACACACTCTCACACACACACTCTCACACACACGCTGTCACACACACACACTCTCTCTCACACACACACACGCTCACACACACACTCTCACACACACACTCTCTCACACACACACACACACTCTCTCACACACACACACACGCTCTCACACACTCTCAAACACACACTCTCATACACACACACTCTCACACACACACACACTCTCACACACTCACACACACACTCTCACACACACACACTCTCACACACACATACACACTCTCACACACTCTCACACACACTCTCACACACTCTCACACACACTCTCACACACTCACACACACACTCTCACACACTCACACACACACTCTCACACACACACACACACTCTCACACACACACTCTCACACACACACTCTCACACACACACACTCTCACACACACACACACTCTCACACACGCTCTCACACACACACACACACTCTCACACACACACACGCTCTCACACACACACACACGCTCTCTCACACACACTCTCACACAACAACAACAACAACCGCCATTCGCCACTAAGTGGCGGTGACGTCACCACGACGCTTGTGCCAGGCTATGTGCACCCTGAGGCCACGTGAAGTGTCGAACGCCCGCTGGCAGGAGGTCACGGGGCAGACCCAGGTGCCACGGGTCGACTGACTGAGATGACTGGCTGATGCACCACCTGTGCCCCCTACTGTTCCAACCTGCTGTGCTTTAGCCACCCGGCGCTCCGCTCGTTGTTGTGAGCGTCGCTCCTCCGCCCTCCGTTGTTGTTGGAAGGCGACTACCTCCAACTGCCCAGTAGCATCCTTCACAAGCCTCCTCCACAGAGGTCGATCTTGACACCGCTGGTACCAGTCATCGGCAAGTCCACTCAGCTCCACGTCCTCCTGTACCACATCACTCCATCTCTTCTCTAGCCCGTGCCGCACCCGCTTAGCCCCCTCAATCCGGCCGAACAAAAGCTGTTTCGGCATGCGTTGGCTGGGCATGCGGGCTACATGACCCAGCCATCGCAGCCTTGCCCGCCGGAGGAGCTCACCGATGGGACATTGCCCAGATCTTTCAATGATTTGTGAGCTCCTCACACAATCCAGTCTGGTTAAACCCAGGATGGATCGTAGGCAGGCCAGCCTAAATGTTTCTAACCGGCGAAGATGTTCCATTAGGGGGGTCCACGTTTCGCAAGCGTAGAGAAGGGAGGGAATGACCGTGGCCGAGAAGACCTGAAGCTTAGTGCAGAGCGACAGACCAGGTAGCTTCCACACAGCGTTACGCAACCGATGAAAAGATATTGCCGCTCGACTGATTCGGAGTGAGACCTCTGCTGTTAAACTGGAGCCAGTCATAAGCACACTGCCCAGGTGTGGGAAACTCTCCACTCTCTCCATAACTGCCGCATCACCGATTGGGAGTTGTGGGGGTGGAGTGTCCGATGGTACAAAATACCCAGGCAGGTGCTTAGTTTTGGTGGGGCTGATGGTAAGGCCCCACCTCTTAGTGGCACGCTCCAGTCTCAGCAGCAGCGTCTCCAACTCCTCCTCTGACTGAACAGCTATTACCAAATCATCAGCATACATAACGTGGTTGAGCAATAGGGAGCCATCCCTTGACCGCACCCGGGCATCGATCAGCCTCCCATTATATCTGTACCATATGGAGATTCCCCCGGTACAGCTATTGCAGGCTTCACGAACTACGTGGTCAAAATAGATGTTAAATAATGTGGGAGCCAGAGGACATCCCTGTCGCACCCCAAGGTGTACAGGGAATGGCACTGACTCCCGGCCACGTAGTTTTACCCGGGCCCGCTCACCATCATGAAGGTCCTTAATGATCGTGAGCAGAGGGTCAGGTACTCCAAAAGCACGAAGAACGACCCAGAGCCCAGGCCTACTGATGGTATCATAGGCCTTGACCAGGTCAATAAAGCAGAGATGTAGGTCTTGTTGGAATTCCCTACACCTCTGCTGTAGCAGATGGACAGAAAATATGGCATCTGTGCAGGTCCGCCCTTTCCTGAAACCGCATTGGGGCTCCGCAAGCCTCTCCTCAGCGTGCCTGGCAAGGCGATGCTGAATAATCCTTGCCAGGACCTTTCCCGGCACACTTAGGAGTGAGATGCCCCTGTAGTTGTTACAATCTGTGCGGTCCCCCTTCTTAAAAAGGGGGACCACCAGGGCATCCTTCCAATCCTGCGGAACCCGTCCAGTGGTCCAGACTGTTGTTATGATGTCATATAGGGCAGTCTGTGCGCAAACGCCACCCTCCCTCAGCATTTCGCTTGGGAGATCATCTCTGCCCGCTGCCTTTCCTGGTCTCAGACTCCGGATCGCCTTCAGTACTTCCTCAACAGATGGCACCTCAGCCAGCCACTCACAGGGGGTGACTTCTTCCAATATTTGAGGCACCGCAGCCTCAGCAGGGTCATCCTCACTTTGTGCCACAATGTTTTCCTGGCTGAGGGATTTTCCCTCCCCCAGGACCTCACAGAAATGCTCAGCAAATCTGCAAACCTGTTCCTGGGGGTCGGAGATTGGATCACCGTTTTTTCCCCTAATGATGGTAATAGGTGTGGCGCTGCAAGTTACTTTTTTGATGGAGTTAAATAGAGATTTGTGATCATGGGCCACTGAGGCAGACTCCATCTCCTCAGCAACCCGCGACCATCACCCATCCTTGCAGCGCCTCACGGCTCTCCGAACCTCCGAGCGAAGGCTGCGGTAAGCCTCCTCATTCTCTGACGTGGGATTCTGTAGCCGATGGCAGTGGGCCTGTCGCTTTTTCTCAACCATCCTGAACACCTCCTCTGTCAGCCAGGGTCTCTGGGGAGGTCTGGACCGCGTACCTAAAGCAGCCATTGCAGCTGCATGAGTCACAGTCCTAAACCTCGCCCATTTACCCTCGACATCAGGAGGAGTCGGGGACGATGCCAATCCCAGCCGCAAGCGATGATGAAATTCTCGCTTGCAACTTTCATCAGATAACTGAGACCAGGCCACTTTAGGCGGAATGGGGTCCTGGGTGTACACCCACCACCGGAGTGGAAGAATGGCAGGCGCATCTTACAGATGACTAGTCGATGGTCAGAGGGCAGATCAGCTCCATGGTAGGTCCTGGTGTCAAGGACATGGGCTCGCATCCGCTGGTCCGTCACTATGTAGTCCAGCAGATGGTCTTGCCTGGACCCGGCATGCATCCATGATGTTGTGTGGATGCGCCGATGCCGGAACAGCGTGTTGGTAATTACAAGCCCATGGGCTGCACAAAAATCTAGCAGCCTCCTACCGTTGTTATTGAGCTGATCTGGCCCATGCCCTCAAATCACTCCAGACCAGGTGCCAGTATCATGACCAACTCGGGCATTGAAGTCACCCAACATGATGACTCTATCCCGAGGGGCCACTTTAGCCAGCACCTGTGACAGGAGGTCATAGAAGGCATCTGACTCATCGGCTTTGCCTGCATCCCTCCACGGATGTTCATCTTCGGTGGGGGCATAAGTAACCACGACCACCATTCCACGCCTCCGGTTGATGGGAAGGCGAGCCCAAAGTAGCCTGGGGCTTACAGCTTCCCACACCTCACCGCCACGCTCCCACGCCCCCTTCATTCTTTTGTTCAAAAGAAGAGCCACACCCTGTTGTTTGGAAGTCTGCTGCCCCGAGTAGAGGACTGTCCACCCCTCATGGTGGCAGGAGCCAGAGCCGGTCCACCGGACCTGAATGCCGCATAGATCCAGGCGGTACCGGTCCAGCTCCCGACAGAGGAGTGGCAGCCTCTCCTCCGCAGTGAGCGTTTGAACATTCCACGTGGCCACCCGTAGTGGCTTTTCGTTGTTTCTGGAGTAGCCCCGAGGGTAGGTATTCAATCTCCTGGCTCCGCCAATTGGGGTTTGGCCAGGAGACGTCATAGACGCCTGGCCCCCCGGGGCGTCCGGCACAAGCTTATTAGTTACATATTTCAGTTTAACTCGTGGTTTCGTGGTAATTAATTGAAGGTGGAGGGGTTACCAGCCCCTCGTACCCGTCCAGAGCCCCCGTTTAGCCCCTGTGGTGGACACAGACGCCATGAGGGGAGGAGCCAATCAAAATTGGATCTCCCCCCACAGCACTGTCCACGACAGAGTTGCCCGTCCGGCACCGCGAGGAGGTAGGGGGTTGTTTTGCCTCACACACACACACTCTCACACACACACACTCACACACACGCTCTCACACACACACACACACTCTCTCACACACACACACACACACTCTCACACACACACACACACTCTCACACACATGCTCTCACACACACACACTCTCACACACACTCACACACACACTCTCACACACACACACACTCTCACACACACACTATCACACACACACTCTCACACACACACACACACTCTCACACACGCTCTCTCACACACACACTCTCACACACACACTATCACACACACACACTCTCACTCACACACACTCACACACACACACTCTCTCTCACACAACAACAACAACAACAACCGCCATTCGCCACTAAGTGGCGGTGACGTCACCACGACGCTTGTGCCAGGCTATGTGCACCCTGAGGCCACGTGAAGTGTCGAACGCCCGCTGGCAGGAGGTCACGGGGCAGACCCAGGTACCACGGGTCGACTGACTGAGATGACTGGCTGATGCACCACCTGTGCCCCCTACTGTGCCAACCTGCTGTGCTTTAGCCACCCGGCGCTCCGCTCGTTGTTGTGAGCGTCGCTCCTCCGCCCTCCGTTGTTGTTGGAAGGCGACTACCTCCAACTGCCCAGTAGCATCCTTCACGAGCCTCCTCCACAGAGGCCGATCTTGACACTGCTGGTACCAGTCATCGGCAAGTCCACTCAGCTCCACGTCCTCCTGTACCACATCACTCCATCTCTTCTCTAGCCCGTGCCGCGCCCGCTTAGCCCCCTCAATCCGGCCAAACAAAAGCTGTTTCGACATGCGGTGGCTGGGCATGCGGGCTACATGACCCAGCCATCGCAGCCTTGGCTGCCGGAGGAGCTCACCGATGGGACCCTGCCCAGATCTTTCAAGGATCTGTGAGCTCTTCACACAATCCAGTCTGGTTAAACCCAGGATGGATCGTAGGCAGGCCAGCCTAAATGTTTCTAACCGGCGAAGATGTTCCATTAGGGGGGTCCACGTTTCGCAAGCGTAGAGAAGGGAGGGAATGACCGTGGCCGAGAAGACCTGAAGCTTAGTGCAGAGCGACAGACCAGGTAGCTTCCACACAGCGTTACGCAACCGATGAAAAGATATTGCCGCTCGACTGATTCGGAGTGAGACCTCTGCTGTTAAACTGGAGCCAGTCATAAGCACACTGCCCAGGTATGGGAAACTCTCCACTCTCTCCACAACTGCCCCATCACCGATTGGGAGTTGTGGGGGTGGAGTGTCCGATGGTACAAAATACCCAGGCAGGTGCTTAGTTTTGGTGGGGCTGATGGTAAAGCCCCACCTCTTAGTGGCACGCTCCAGTCTCAGCAGCAGCGTCTCCAACTCCTCCTCTGACTGAGCAGCTATTACCAAATCATCAGCATACATAACGTGGTTGAGCAATAGGGAGCCATCCCTTGACCGCACCCGGGCATCGATTAGCCTCCCATTATATCTGTACCATATGGATATTCCCCCGGTACAGCTATTGAAGGCTTCACGAACTACGTGGTCAAAATAGATGTTAAATAATGTGGGAGCCAGAGGACATCCCTGTCGCACCCCAAGGTGTACAGGGAATGGCTCTGACTCCCGGGCACGTAGTTTTACCTGGGCCCGCTCACCATCATGAAGGTCCTTAATGATCGTGAGCAGAGGGTCAGGTACTCCAAAAGCACGAAGAACGACCCAGAGCCCAGGCCTACTGATGGTATCATAGGCCTTGACCAGGTCAATAAAGCAGAGATGTAGGTCTTGTTGGAATTCCCTACACCTCTGCTGTAGCAGATGGACAGAAAATATGGCATCTGTGCAGGTCCGCCCTTTCCTGAAACCGCATTGGGGCTCCGCAAGCCTCTCCTCAGCGTGCCTGGCAAGGCGATGCTGAATAATCCTTGCCAGGACCTTTCCCGGCACACTGAGGAGTGAGATGCCCCTGTAGTTGTTACAGTCTGTGCGGTCCCCCTTCTTAAAAATGGGGACCACCAGGGCATCCTTCCAATCCTGCGGAACCCGTCCAGTGGTCCAGACTGTTGTTATGATGTCATATAGGGCAGTCTGTGCGCAAACGCCACCCTCCCTCAGCATTTCGCTTGGGAGATCATCTCTGCCCGCTGCCTTTCCTGGTCTCAGACTCCGGATCGCCTTCAGTACTTCCTCAACAGATGGCACCTCAGCCAGCCACTCACAGGGGGTGACTTCTTCCAATATTTGAGGCACCGCAGCCTCAGCAGGGTCATCCTCACTTTGTGCCACAATGTTTTCCTGGCTGAGGGATTTTCCCTCCCCCAGGACCTCACAGAAATGCTCAGCAAATCTGCAAACCTGTTCCTGGAGGTCGGAGATTGGATCACCGTTTTTTTCCCCTAATGATGGTAATAGGTGTGGCGCTGCAAGTTACTTTTTTGATGGAGTTAAATAGAGATTTGTGATCACGGGCCACTGAGGCAGACTCCATCTCCTCAGCAACCCGCGACCACCACCCATCCTTGCAGCGCCTCACGGCTCTCCGAACCTCCGAGCGAAGGCTGCGGTAAGCCTCCTCATTCTCTGACGTGGGATTCTGTAGCCGATGGCAGTGGGCCTGTCGCTTTTTCTCAACCATCCTGAACACCTCCTCTGTCAGCCAGGGTCTCTGGGGAGGTCTGGACCGCGTACCTAAAGCAGCCATTGCAGCTGCATGAGTCACAGTCCTAAACCTCGCCCATTTACCCTCGACATCAGGAGGAGTCGGGGACGATGCCAATCCCAGCCGCAAGCGATGATGAAATTCTCGCTTGCAACTTTCATCAGATAACTGAGACCAGGCCACTTTAGGCGGAATGGGGTCCTGGGTGTACACCCACCACCGGAGTGGAAGAATGGCAGGCGCATCTTACAGATGACTAGTCGATGGTCAGAGGGCAGATCAGCTCCACGGTAGGTCCTGGTGTCAAGGACATGGGCTCGCATCCGCTGGTCCGTCACTATGTAGTCCAGCAGATGGTCTTGCCTGGACCCGGCATGCATCCATGATGTTGTGTGGATGCGCCGATGCCGGAACAGCGTGTTGGTAATTACAAGCCCATGGGCTGCACAAAAATCTAGCAGCCTCCTACCGTTGTTATTGAGCTGATCTGGCCCATGCCCTCAAATCACTCCAGACCAGGTGCCAGTATCATGACCAACTCGGGCATTGAAGTCACCCAACATGATGACTCTATCCCGAGGGGCCACTTTAGCCAGCACCTGTGACATGAGGTCATAGAAGGCATCTGACTCATCGGCTTGGCCTGCATCCCTCCACGGATGTTCATCTTCGGTGGGCGCATAAGTAACCACGACCACCATTCCTCGCCTCTGGTTGATGGGAAGGCGAGCCCAAAGTAGCCTGGGGCTTACAGCTTCCCACACCTCACCGCCACGCTCCCACGCCCCCTTCATTCTTTTGTTCAAAAGAAGACCCACACCCTGTTGTTTGGCAGTCTGCTGCCCCGAGTAGAGGACTGTCCACCCCTCATGGTGGCAGGAGCCAGAGCCGGTCCACCGGACCTCCTGAATGCCGCATAGATCCAGGCGGTACCGGTCCAGCTCCCGACAGAGGAGTGGCAGCCTCTCCTCTGCAGTGAGCGTTCGAACATTCCACGTGGCCACCCGTAGTGGCTTTTCGTTGTTTCTGGAGTAGCCCCGAGGGTAGGTATTCAATCTCCTGGCTCCGCCAATTGGGGTTTGGCCAGGAGACGTCATAGACGCCTGGCCCCCCTGGGCCTCCGGCACAAGCTTATTTGTTACATATTTCAGTTTAATTCGTGGTTTCGTGGTAATTTTTTGAAGGTGAAGGGGTTACCAGCCCCTCGCACCCGTCCAGAGCCCCCGTTTAGCCCCTGTGGTGGACACATACGCCATGAGGGGAGGAGCCAATCAAAATTGGATCTCCCCCCACAGCCCTGTCCACGACAGAGTTGCCCGTCCGGCACCGCGAGGAGGTAGGGGGTTGTTTTGCCACACACACACACACTATCACACACATACACACTATCACACACTCACACACACACACACTCTCTCTCACACTGCCCGTGTGTTGTGGCCCCGCCCCCCCAGTCTGGACCTGTCGTGCGCCAACGTTGGCGACGTGGAGGGGGCGGTGGGGTCGTCGCCGGGGTCGTCGCCGTCCGTGGTGCTGGTGCGCAAGGCCTACGAGCGCTCGCGACGGGCCCGGCGCCGCAACTGGACCCTGGCCGAGCTGCCCAGGGAGCGCCAGGACGACGTCGCCAGCGACGACGAAAGGTGACGGGGGTGGGGGCCGGGGGGGTCCGGGGGGGGGGGGGGCCGGGGGGTTGGGGTCTCTCGCGCAGGGCTGGGTGCGGGAGGTCACGGGACGGAGCCCCTTGATGCACGTGGGGTGAGCGCCGCTCGCCAACCCCGCCCGCGCTCACACACGCGCTCACCCGGACTCACCCGCACTCACCCTCGCTCACGCGCACTCACCCTCGCTCACCCGGACTCACCCACACTCACCCACACTCACCCGCACTCACCCTTGCTCACCCGGACTCACCCGAACTCACCCACACTCACACGCGCTCACCCGGACTCACCCTCGCTCACCCACGCTCACCCACGCTCACCCACGCTCACCCACGCTCACCCACGCTCACCAGCCCCGCCAGAACTCACCCACGCTCACCCACGCTCACCCGCGCTCACCCACGCTCACCCACGCTCACCCTCGCTCACCCTCGCTCACCAGCCCCGCCAGAACTCACCCACGCTCACCCTCGCTCACCAGCCCCGCCAGAACTCACCCACGCTCACCCGCGCTCACCCACGCTCAGCCACGCTCACCCTCGCTCACCCTCGCTCACCCGATTCCCGCTCATGGCGAATATCAGCAGCGGCGATTTATCTGAACCGGTGCTGCCCCCCCCCTCCTAGGTCGACTCAGCCTCAAATGAGTTACCTGCTATGGTGTAGCGGTGTCAAGTAGTAAACTTCAGCATTGGGGGAGACAAAGGCGGCCGGGCGTGGTGCTGGCCACCCACCCCCTCGTGTGCCACAGTGCCGGTAGCTTTCATACATGCTGCTCGCTAACAGCACTTGCCCCTACAGCCTGTTAGAGGCTACACGGGGCAGCTTTGTCTGTGTCTACCTTAACAGGTGCTGCTGCTACTCGCTACTCACAGCACTTGCCCCTACAGCCTGTTAGAGGCTACACGGGGGACCTTTTTCTGTGTCTACCTTCACAGGTGCTGCTGCTACTCGCTACTCCCAGCACTTGCCCCTACAGCCTGTTAGAGGCTACACGGGTGACCTTTGTCTTTGTGTGAGCAGACAGTACGAGGACTTCCTGGAAGACCTGGAGGAGGATGAGGCTGTGAGGAAGAACGTGAACATCTACCGTGGTGACTCACTCGCTCGCACACGCGTGTACACACACGTTCAGTTGTACACACACGCGTGTACACACGCACACACACACACACGTGTACACACACACACGTGTACACACACACACACATACGTGTACACACACACACCTGTACACACACACACACGTGTTCACGTGTGTGTACACGTACACGTGTACACACGTACACATGTACACACACACACATGTGTACACACGCAGCGGTAGTGTAGCGGTTAGCGCTATGCTGCGCTATAAACCCGGCGACCCGAGTTTGATTCCCGCTCACGGCCAACACCAACGGTGACGATTATCTGAACTGGTCCTGGACCTCCCCTAGGTCGACTCAGCCTCAAATCAGTACCTGGTGCGGTGTGTAGTAAACATCGCCACTGGGGAGACAAAGGCGGCCGGGCGTGGTGCTGGCCACCCACCCCCTCGTGTGCCGTGCCGGCCTTCCTAGGTGCTCGCTAACAGCACTTGCCGCTACAGTCTGTTTAGGCTATACGGGGTTTCTTTGTCTTTGTGGGCGCGCTAGGTCTGAATGATTTCAGGAAAATATCCAACTGCTAAATTTTTCTTCAGTTCAATATTCACTGCGTGATGAGCTTTAAACAACTTGTGTCGCGTGGTGAAGATGCACGCGAAGGCACAACCTCATGTCGGGGCTTTCGCCAGTTTATTAGCGCAAGGGGTAACACATTACACCAGAGATATGTGTCCCTCCCTACACTTGGTCCTCCACTCGGAACTCAGGCTCCTATCTGTCCCCAGCCTCGGCTATCCGTTGGGCTCTCTCGCTAGAGTCGGGATGGGGGTTCAGCCAACACCGCCCAGGCCGAGGACAGCAGCACCCCACGTAATCCTAGCCGGCTCTCGTAGACTCCTCCGGGCCCTACACCCCTGGCTATCTCTTCGGCTCACCTAGACTCCTCCGGGCCCTACACCCCTGGCTATCTCTTCGGCTCTCGTAGACTCCTCCGGGCCCTACACCCCTGGCTATGTCTTGGGCTCTCCTAGACTCCTCCGGGCCCTATACCCCCCTGGCTATGTCTTGGGCTCTCCTAGACTCCTCCGGGCCCTATACCCCCCTGGCTATGTCTTGGGCTCTCCTAGACTCCTCCGGGCCCTACACCCCTGGCTATCTCTTCGGCTCACCTAGACTCCTCCGGGCCCTACACCCCTGGCTATCTCTTCGGCTCTCGTAGACTCCTCCGGGCCCTACACCCCTGGCTATGTCTTGGGCTCTCCTAGACTCCTCCGGGCCCTATACCCCCCTGGCTATGTCTTGGGCTCTCCTAGACTCCTCCGGGCCCTACACCCCTGGCTATCTCTTCGGCTCTCCTAGAATCCTCCGGGCCCTATACCCCTGGCTATGTCTTGGGCTCTCCTAGACTCCCCTGGGCCCTATACCCCTGGCTATGTCTTGGGCTTTCCTAGACTCCTCCGGGCCCTACACCCCTGGCTATCTCTTCGGCTCTCCTAGACTCCTCCGGGCCCTATACCCCTGGCTATGTCTTGGGCTCTCCTAGACTCCCCTGGGCCCTACACCCCTGGCTATCTCTTCGGCTCTCCTAGACTCCTCCGGGCCCTATACCCCCCTGGCTATGTCTTGGGCTCTCCTAGACTCCTCCGGGCCCTACACCCCTGGCTATCTCTTCGGCTCACCTAGACTCCTGCGGGCCCTACACCCTTGGCTATCTCTTCGGCTCTCCTAGACTCGTCCGGGCCCTACACCCCTGGCTATCTCTTCGGCTCTCCTAGACTCCTCCGGGCCCTACACCCCTGGCTATCTCCTCGGCTCACCTAGACTCCTCCGGGCCCTACACCCCTGGCTATCTCTTCGGCTCTGCTAGACTCCTCCGGGCCCTACACCCCTGGCTATCTCTTCGGCTCTCCTAGACTCCTCCAGTCCCTACACCCCTGGCTATCTCTTCGGCTCTCCTAGACTCCTCCGGGCCCTACACCCCTGGCTATCTCTTTGGCTCTCCTAGACTCCTCCGGGCCCTACACCCCTGGCTATCTTTTCGGCTCTCCTAGACTCCCCTGGGCCCTATACCCCTGGCTATGTCTTGGGCTCTTCTAGACTCCTCCGGGCCCTACACCCCTGGCTATCTCTTGGGCTCTCCTAGACTCCTCCGGGCCCTACACCCCTGGCTATCTCTTCGGCTCTGCTAGACTCCTCCGGGCCCTATACCCCTGGCTATCTCTTCGGCTCTGCTAGACTCCTCCGGGCCCTATACCCCTGGCTATGTCTTGGGCTCTCCTAGACTCCTCCGGGCCCTACACCCCTGGCTATCTCTTCGGCTCTCCTAGACTCTTCCGGGCCCTACACCCCTGGCTATCTCTTCGGCTCTCCTAGACTCTTCCGGGCCCTACACCCCTGGCTATCTCTTGGGCTCTCCTAGACTCCTCCGGGCCCTACACCCCTGGCTATCTCTTGGGCTCTCCTAGACTCCTCCGAGCCCTACACCCCTGGCTATCTCTTCGGCTCTCCTAGACTCCTCCGGGCCCTACACCCCTGGCTATCTCTTCGGCTCTCGTAGACTCCTCCGGGCCCTACACCCTTGGCTATCTCTTGGGCTCTCCTAGACTCCTTCGGGCCCTATACCCCTGGCTATCTCTTGGGCTCTCCTAGACTCCTCCGGGCCCTACACCCCTGGCTATCTCTTCGGCTCTCCTAGACTCCTCCGGGCCCTACACCCCTGGCTATCTCTTCGGCTCTCCTAGACTCCTCCGGGCTCTACACCCCTGGCTATCTCTTCGGCTCTCCTAGATTCCCCCGGGCCCTATACCCCTGGCTATCTCTTCGGCTCTCCTAGACTCCTCCGGGCCCTACACCCCTGGCTATCTCTTCGGCTCTCCTAGACTCCTCCGGGCCCTACACCCCTGGCTATCTCTTCGGCTCTCCTAGACTCCTCCGGGCCCTACACCCCTGGCTATCTCTTCGGCTCTCCTAGACTCCTCCGGGCCCTACACCCCTGGCTATCTCTTGGGCTCTCCTAGACTCCTGCGGGCCCTATACTTCTGGCTATCTCTTCGGCTCTCCTACTCGTAGAGCCCCCGACCGGGGATCGGCCAGCCAACTCCGTCCGGTCACGAGCAAAGAGAGACGTCCTTGTCGGACCCCCGGCTCCCACAGCGACGACCCCGCTCACATCACGGGGGGGATGGGGGGGGTCCCCCTTAAGTTACCTCCCCCCCCTTACAGTGCCCGTGACGTGACGTCATCCCACTCAACGGCGCTGATGACGTTATGTCATCCGTTACTCCTCTACACACGTGATGGAGCATTGCCAAGTGATACCATCACAATATGAGCCGCTCTCTATATATAAAATCGAATGCAAGGTTGAGGGTTTTTCCCCTTTTTTCTGGCAACGAAACTGAAACCTTTCTACAAGGATTCATGTTTACTGCATTAACCTACAATACCTGCAGTCAAAATTCAAACAGAAAACAGCACTCTGATAATATGATGATGCATTGTCCTTGCAACTGATTGGTCCGCACCAAGGGGGGACGGCTTTCTTTTGAGCCTCGACCCAATTGGTGCTCGACCAGAGGACGCCAAAAAGGCGTCACACGGCTCAAAGACAACGCCACTATCAAAGTAATGAGGGCTCGGGGTGATCATCTACATCATTAGACAAAGGAGGTCTAATGAAATTAAAAGCTACGAATTGCTCGACAACGTGTATGTGCGGTGAGTCCGACCGAGCCGCAGACGTTGGTTGCCCTGGGAGCAACGCTGTTCATTCAGCAACTTCAACACAACATCGCACAATCTACACTCGCGTACCGGATGGCCCCCATCCATCCACGCTACGGCAGAACTAAGGCGCACGTTTCGCTGTCCCGGCCCGGACCACGAGCCGGGTCCCCGGACCGCGTGGCTAGGAGGCCTTCTTCTCCCCGACGTGGATCTTCACTCACCGGCAACACGAGGAACCTCTTCACGGGGGGGGGGGGGGGGGGGTCCCTGTTATGTGCCCCACCCCCCCCGGGCTGGGGCTGGCTCCGCCCTTCCGCCCCGCCCACCTTCCAGATCTTTCCCGGGCTCTTTCTCGAAGGGTCCCGAGAGCTCCTTTTAGACCAGGTGACCGCGCGGCGTCACCCCCCCCGCCCGTCCACCGTCCACCGGTGGGACCCCCCCTCCAATGGCGTCCGGTCACGTCGTCGGCACGGTGAACCGGAGTGTCGTGCCCCCAACGTAGCCCCCCGGCTGGCCGACGCTGCCGCTGGCCCGCTCGCCGGGAGCCCGCAGCACGCCGCCGCTCGCCGGGAGCCGCTTGTTGTCGTCTCCGCGCCGACCGGCGCTCGGCCGGAGCCCCGCTAGGGGGCCGGGGCTACGCCGCCCCGTAACCCGGGCTGCCCGTGATGCCGACAAGGCCCGTGACCTGCCGTGGCTTCGCAAGCCCCGGCACCGCACGGTGAACGGCCGCGGGCGCTTTGATTGGGATAGAACGCGATCAGACGTGGAACAGTCGGTTAAGTTAAGTGAATAAAGTTACGATGATAATGATAATAATGATAATATAAAAAAAAATACGTAACAGTTTCAATAAGGATGTTAATGGGAATTTTCAAATGGCAAAGAAGAAAATCGCGGCCTTGGCGATTTGCTAGTCGCATTGTTTCAAATCGCGATTTCGATTTGAAATTGATTGAGCGCTCAGCCGTAGTGTACTCGAGTGTGTATGTGTGCGCACACATACACACTCGTGTGTGTACACGCTCAGTTGTACACACTCGCACGCACACTCGCACGCACACTCGCACGTACACAACTCACACACACACACTCACGCACACGCACTCACGCATGTACACACTCGCACACGCACGCACTCACGCACTTACACACTCGCACATACACACACACTGACGCACGTACACACTCGCACTCACTCACACTCACGCACGTGCACACACACACACTCACGCACGTACACACACACGCTCGCACGTACACACACACACGCTCGCACGTACACACACACACGCACCCTCGCACGTACACACTCACACACGTGCACACGCACACTTACGCACGTACACACTCGCACACACACGCACACTCGTAAGTACACGCTCACTCACACACTCACGCACGTACACATTTGCACGTACACACACACACGCACACTCGCACGTACACTCGCACGTACACACTTGCACACACACGCACACTCGCACGTAAACACTCGCACACGCGCACACTCACACGCACTCACGCATGTACACACTCGCACACACTCACACGTACACACTCGCACACACACACTCAAGCATGTACACACTCGCACACACTCACACACGCACACTCGCACACACACTCGCGCACGTACACACTCGCACACGTACACACTCGCACACACGCACACTCGCATGTACACGCTCGCACACACGCACACTCGCACGTACACACTCGCACGCACGCACACTCGCACGTACACACTCGCTCACACACTCGCGCACGTACACACTCGCACGTACACACTCGCACGTACACACTCGCTCACACACTCGCGCACGTACACACTCGCGCACGTACACACTCGCACGTACACACTTGCACACACATGCACACACTCGCACACATGCACTCACGCACGTACACACTTGCACACACACATGCACACACTCGCACACATGCACTCACGCACGTACACACTTGCACACACACATGCACACACTCGCACACATGCACTCACGCACGTACACACTTGCACACACACTCACGTACACACTCACACACACACACATACTCACATACACACTCACACATACTCACGTACACACTCACACACACACTCACGTACACACACACTCACGTACACAAAAAAGAGCAAAGATCCCCCGTATAGCCTCAACAGACTGTAGGGGCAAGTGCTGTTAGCGAGCACCTATGAAGGCCGGAACGGTACACGAGGGGGTGGGTGGCCAGCACCACGCCCGACCGCCTTTGTCTCCCTAGTGGCGATATTTACACACCGCACCAGGTACTCATTTGAGGCTGAGTCGACCTAGGGGAGGCCCGGGACCGGTTCAGATGATCGTCACTGGTGTTGGCCGTGAGCGGGAATCGAACCCGGGTCGCCAGGTTCATAGCGCAGCGCGCTAACCGCTACACTACCGCTCCCCACACTCACACACACACATTCACGTACACACTCACGTACACACACACACACTCAAGTACACACGCACTCACGTACACACTCACGTACACACTCACGTACACACTCACACACACACTCACGTACACACTCACACACACTTACGTACACACTCACACACACACTCACGTACACACTCACACACACACTCACGTACACACTCACACATACACACTCACGTACACATTCGCACACACACGCACTCACGCACGTACACACTCGCACACACTCGCACACACTCACGTACACACTCACACATACACACTCACGTGCACACACATACACACTCACGTACACACACACACACTCACGTACACACTCACACACACACACTCACGTACACACTCGCACACACTCACATACACTCATACACACTCACGTACACACTCACACACACACGTACACACACACACTCACGTACACACTCACGTACACACTCACACACTCACGTACACACTCACACACTCACGTACACACTCACACACTCACGTACACACTCACACACACTCACGTACACACACTCACGTACACACTCACGTACATACACTCACGTACACTCACACACTCACGTACACACTCACACACACACACTCACACACTCACACACACACTCGTGCCCACACACAAACGCACGCGACCACCTTTGTCTCCCCGCCCCACCCCCCTCTCCCCCGCCTCTTCACCGACACTCGCCCCTCCCCCCCCCCCCCCCTGCGCGTGTGCAGACCGCAGCCACGTGGAGGCCACAGCTGGAGGAGGAGGTGGGGACGAGGAGGAGGAGGACGACGCTCCACGGATCGGCCTGGACGAGATGATGGAAGACCTGAAGCTCACAGACGCACCGGGAGGCCCCGCATCGGACATGGTGTCCGAGTGACACACACTCAGACACTCACTCACTGAGACACTCACTCAGACACTCACTCAGACACTCACTCAGACACTCACTCACTCAGACACTCACTCGCTCAGACACTCACTCAGACACTCACTTAGACACTCACTCAGATACTCACTCAGACACTCACTCACTCAGACACTCACTCAGACACTCACTTAGACACTCACTCAGACACTCACTCAGACACTCACTCAGACACTCACTCACTCAGACACTCACTCACTCAGACACTCACTCAGACACTCACTCACTCAGACACTCACTCAGACACTCACTCAGACACTCACTCACTCAGACATACACTCACTCACTCAGACACTCACTCACTCAGACACTCAGACACTCACTCACTCAGACACTCAGACACTCACTCACTCAGACACTCACTCAGACACTCAGACATTCACTCAGACACTCACTGAGACACTCACTCACTCAGACACTCACTCAGACACTCACTCACTCAGACACTCACTCAGACACTCACTCACTCAGACACTCACTCACTCAGACACTCACTCACTCAAACACTCACTCACTCAGACACTCGCTCAGACACTCGCTCAGACACTCACTCAGACACTCACACACTCACTTAGACACTCAGACACTCACTCGCACTCACAACAACTGCCATTCGCCACTAAGTGACGGTGACGTCACCACGACGCTTGTGCCAGGCCATATGCACCTTGAGGCCACGTGAAGTGTCGAACGCCCGCTCGCAGGAGGTCACGGGGCAGACCCAGGTGCCACGGGTCGACTGACTGAGATGACTGGCTGATGCACCACCTGTGCCCCCTACTGTGCCAACCTGCTGTGCTTTAGCCACCCGGCGCTCCGCTCGTTGTTGTGAGCGTCGCTCCTCCGCCCTCCATTGTTGTTGGAGGGCGACTGCCTCCAACTGCCCAGTAGCAGCGTCCTTCACGAGCCTCCTCCACAGAGGCCGATCTTGACACCGCTGGTACCAGTCATCGGCAAGTCCACTCAGCTCCACGTCCTCCTGTACCACATCAATCCATCTCTTCTCTAGCCCGTGCCGCGCCCGTTTAGCCCCCTCGATCCGGCCGAACAAAAGCTGTTTCAGCATGCGGTGGCTGGGCATGCGGGCTACATGACCCAGCTAACGCAGCCTTGCCTGCCGGAGGAGCTCACCGATGGGACCTTGCCCAGATCTTTCAAAGATTTGTGAGCTCCTCACACAATCCAGCCTGGTTAAACCCAGGATGGATCGTAGGCAGGCCAGCCTAGATGTTTCTAACCGGCGAAGATGTTCCATTAGGGGGGTCCACGTTTCGCAAGCGTAGAGAAGGGAGGGAATGACCGTGGCCGAGAAGACTTGAAGCTTAGTGCGGAGCGACAGACCAGGTAGCTTCCACACAGCGTCACGCGGCCGATGAAAAGATATTGCCGCTCGACTGATTCGGAGCGAGACCTCTGCTGTTAAACAGGAGCCGGTCATGACCACACTGCCCTCACTCACTCACACACTCACACTCCCAGAGAGACGCAGGTGGACACACCACGGACACCCGTACACAGTCGCTTGCTGAGAGACAGCGGTCAACTCCTCATCACTGCCCCACCACCTTGCCACAGAGCAAGTCAGCCCTGGTTGGTCACCACGTGGTGCCCCTTACAAACCTCAACGTTCATCCTACAGAGTCCCATCGCAAGAGAGACGCACAGACAAACACCACTACTACACTCACCACTACACTCACCACTCGTACACTCACTCGTACACTCACCACTAGTACACTCACCACTACTACACTCGCCACTCGTACACTCACCACTCGTACACTCACCACTAGTACACTCACCACTACACTTCTCACTATACTCACCACTAGTACACTCACCACTCGTACACTCACTAGTACACTCACCACTAGTACACTCACCACTACACTCACCACTACACTCACCACTAGTACACTCACCACCACTTCTCACTACACTCACCACTAGTACACTCACCACTAGTACACTCACTACTACACTCATCACTAGTGCACTCACCACTCCACTTCTCACTACGCTCACCACTTGTACACTCACCACTAGTACACTCACCACTAGTACACTCACCACTAGTACACTCACCACTAGTACACTCATACACTCACTCGTACACTCACCACTACTACACTCATCACCCAGTGCACTCACCACTACTACACTCACCACTAGTGCACTCACCACTACTACACTCACCAGTAGAACACTCACCACTAGTACACTCACCACTACACTTCTCACTACACTCACCACTAGTACACTCACCACTAGTACACCACTACACGGGAGAAACGCGAACTAACAGACACCTCATTTGTCTTTCCCCGCATTGAGACGGCTGGGGGGATTGGGGTTACTGGTTCTTTGCCGTTCCCACTCGCACGCGCGAGGAATCATTTCAGCGCTGCAATAAAAGCACGGGAGATTATACGGAAGGACAGCCGCACGTGTGTCTGTCTGTGTCTGGATGTGTCTGGTACAGTTGGGGGGTACAGCTGGTGGTGCATCTCTCGGCCATCTCAGCCGACCCATGGCACCTGCTGGGTCTGTCACGTGACCTGCTGCACCTAGCCTGGCACAGTAGGGGGGTACAGCTGGTGGTGCATCTCCCGGCCATCTCAGTCGACCCATGGCACCTGCTGGGTCTGTCCCGTGACCTCCTCCTGCACCTAGCCTGGCACAGTAGGGGGGGTACAGCTGGTGGTGCATCTCCCGATCATCTCAGCCGACCCGTGGCACCTGGGTCTGTCCCTTGACCTCCTCCTGCACCTAGCCTGGCACAGTAGGGGGGGTACAGCTGGTGGTGCATCTACCGGTCATCTCAGCCAGTCAACCCATGGCACCTGCTGGGTCTGTCCCATGACCTCCTCCTGCACCTAGCCTGGCACAGTAGTGGGGGGTACAGCTGGTCGCTGCCCGTTTGGCGTTTCTTTTCGTGCGTGTCCCTGGGGTGGCTGGGTCACTCCCTGGTCGTCTTCGTCACGGGACCGTCTTTTTTTATGTTTTTTGCCAGCATCAAAAGTGTGGAGGAAAAAAAAAATATTATTGGTGCGTTACCCCTTTCCGGCAGTAATGAAACGGAAGTTGTCTTAACCCATTTAATGCCCTGGGGGGGTCACATTAGTGACCCGTGTGTAAAAAAATGTTTTCAGTTATATGGCTCTACATTTTTTTTTTTACACTGATGTATCAATGAATTTCCAGCAAATAGTGCAATAATAATAATGATGGTAAAGGGTAGTCTCGGTGCAGTGTCACATGTTTAGTGTAAATTGTCACGTGACCAGAGCCGTTCGCTGCCCTGGTTGGGTTGCACCATGAGAAGAGGTTTGGGGCCGCCCATAAATGACGTCACACGATTTTGGCGACGCGTTGATTATAACGTACAGCGGCGACAGACCTTGGAACACAGACTAGGGACTCGGTCTACGTGTGGAGTGCCTGACACCGGCTACGCATTGCCTAGGGGAGTCTATCCTGACCAGACCCAGCCAAGGTCCGGGTCTCGTCAGGCCGGGAGTCCCAGAGTCTCACCACTGGCCCGCACAGAGCCCCGCTGCCCTAACCAGGGCACCGGGGCTAGGGGGGTACCCAGGGCCCCAAGCCGGCTGCTGGTCTTCTGGCTTCTGTCTTCCATTAAATTTCGACTTAAAGCTTTCGTGACTGCAGGGATTTCATATTCTTGGTTCTTTCGGTAAAGTCACCGCATTCGAAGGGGAAACGATAAAATACTAAAAAAAAAAACAATAATATAATAAAATCCTCACGACGTTTCGGCCACAACGCGAGCAGCCAAGCTTAGCGGTGTTCGTTAGGACGGCTGTCTTTCCCGACAGCTCTGTTTCTTCACCTGAGGACGAAACGTCGTGAGAATTTTGTTGTTTAATTTTTATTCTATTATTATTGTTTCCCTTCTAACGTGACTTTACCGAAAGACCCAAGAAAACATTTTCCATTAAAATTCCCCCCAAAAATTCTAATCGATTATTTCAAAGGGGTTACTGATGACACGTGATTCGGATACTTTGATGTCTGGGGGGAAAAAAATTCAAGATGTAAAAACGCAAAATATAAATCTTTTGCGCAGGGAATAAAGTTGCTGGATTAACCACGCGCGGGTACTTGTGAACATGCAAAACACAGACACGGCTCTCTTAACACTGTGACGAAAAACACGGTGTCCCTGGGCAGTAAGTCTTATTTCCTAATTGCTTATGCCTCAAACGCACAGCAAGTGGCTATGGTTGTCCCCCCACAAGCTTTGCTTTTACGAACAGGACAATGATTCATCTTCTTTGCTTCTTTCGGTAAAGTCACCAGGTAGAATGAGAATAAAATAATAAAGTGATAAAATAAAATAACACAATAAAATTATCACGACGTTTTGGCCACAACACAAGCGGCCTTCATCAGGTGAAGGGACGAGACTGTCTGGAGGACAGCGCTGGAGCGAAAAAGCCACTGCTCAGATCGCGACCTTTAAGCTGTGTGAGAAGAAACAAAGCGCCTTGACAAAGGAATTAGCATAGAATTTAGCATTGAAATGGCTCAGTGATTAGCTTGTGACTGGTCACAGAAATGGCTATGTTAAAGTTAAAGCATACACATCCGCAAAGGCACCCCTTGACAAAGGAATTAGCATAGAATTTAGCATTGAAATAGCTAAGTTAAAGTATACACATCCGCAGAGGCACCCCTTGACAAAGGAATTAGCATAGAATTTAGCATTGAAATAGCTAAGTTAAAGTATACACATCCGCAGAGGCACCCCTTGACAAAGGAATTAGCATATAATTTAGCATTGAAATAGCTAAGTTAAAGTATACACATCCACAAAGGCACCCCTTGACAAAGGAATTAGCATAGAATTTAGCATTGAAAAAGCTAAGTTAAAGTATACACATCCGCAGAGGCACCCCTTGACAAAGGAATTAGCATAGAATTTAGCATTGAAATAGGACATTGATTATATATATTTTTAAAATTGACCTATTTTAAATGAGAAAACGTGGTGCGAATTCGCGTCTTTTCCGTTCGCGCAAAAGTCGCGGTCTCAAAGGCAAAGTTCGTAGGGGAGTAACAATAGCCATCTTCTTGGCTCATCTTCTTTGGTTCTTTCGGTAAAGTCACCAGGTAGAATGAGAATAAAATAATAAATTGATAAAATAAAATATTCTATTATTGTGTTATTTTATCAATTTCTTATTTTATTCTCATTCTACGTGGTGGTGACTTTACCGAAAGAACCAAAGAAGATGAATCCTTGCAGTCACGAAAGCTTTAAATCGATATCTTGGTTCTTTCGGTAAAGTCGCGTGGAGTGGAAATAAAGTGATAAAAAAATAAAACGTAAGAAAATAAAAATTTAACAGAGAATTAAAGCTTTCGTGACTGCATAAATGACTCATTGGTTTTTTTTCGGTAAAGTCACTCCAGGCAAGTGTCTAACTGTGTTGTTGACCTGACCGGTTGTGCATCACGTGTAATTTTTCTTGGGTCTGTTGAATTCTCGTCTCTCATCTTCTTGTTGTATTTACCTTCGTGATTTGTTTTTGTTATTTTACACCTGATGAAGATCGCTAGTGTCGCGGGCGAAACGTCGCGATTGATTTGTTTTCACAGAATTTTACGGTATTCCTACACACGTGACCTTTGCCGAAAAAAAACGAGTGAAATGAAATTTATCTTTTTTTCATCATTTTATTTCCATTCTAACGCGGCAGTGACTTTACCGAAAGGACCACGGAGATGAATCCCTGCAGTCACGAAACGTTTAAATCGAAGCAACAGCCGGTACCAAAATATAATTGCACCAACTGGGTGTAGGCTCAAAAGAAAGCCGTCCCCTTGGTGTGGACCAATCAGTTGCAAGGACAATGCATCGTCATATTATCAGAGTTTTCTGTTTTCTGTTTGCATTTTTGACCGCAAGTATTGTGAAATTTTGATTTAAAGCTTTCTCGTCACTGCAGTAATTCATATGCTTAGCTCTTTCGGTAAAGTCACGTTGAAGGGAAACAATAAAGTAATTTAAAATATATATATAAAACAATATATTTTATTGTTTCCCTTCAACGTGACTTTACCGAAAGAGCTAAGAATACCCAAGTATTGTGGTTAATGCGGTAAACGTGAATCCAAGTTTTGTTGCCAGAAAAAAAATAGGGGGTTAAACCCCCTATTATAATAGCCATTTAAGATACTTTTGTAGGCAACAAGCAATTGCAAAAAGTAACACCTAGTACCTAGGAACAAACAAAAAATACGCGTGACGTAGCGTAATAAAACAGGTCCCTGCAGGGTGGGCTGGTAGGAACATTGGAATTTTGCGCAATTGTATGACATTGGTACGTAAAATTGTGCAAATTGAGAGCGTCTTCCCACCTTTTTGCCCTCAAAATCGTTGAGGGTTCTTCGGGCAAATTAACCTCTGTCGAGGAATGGAACGGTGAAATCCTTATTGACTGAAATCTGCTCATTTTGGAGCAATGTATCGTAAAATCGTTAAGGGCTGGGCCGACGAAAATGACACCAATTGTATTTTAAAATGAGGAATTGTTTCCCGGTATACGGTAGTATGGGGCTTTTGAAAGGGGACGGACGGACGGACACATTAATCTATTGCAGGCTGGTACACTCAGTTTACAACTTCGTTCCAACCAGTATTATGATGCATTGTCTTTGAAACTGATTGGTCTACACCACTGAGATCCGCCTTCTCTACGGCCCAGTCTCACCACCAGCGTCAGACCCAGGTACCAGGGCAATGCTACTACTATCCAGGGCATTTCGCAGCTTGGGAGCGAGCAGCTTCAACATGGGATGCCCGAAAAAATAATTATAGCTTTGACCCTAGGAATAGGTTTTAGCCTTTTAACTAGCCAGTTAAAAGGGTAAAACACATTCCTATATCTTGTTACTGGCAAAGGAGGTCTCATAATGTAAAGGCTTTGACCCTGTCTGGCAGTAATAAGACGGGAGATCGTGTTAAGATATTCAAACACCAAAAATAGATTGAACCTTTTTCAGCCGATGTCAATTCACCAATTCTCTCGCCGGCTGACAAAATCTGCCGATCCGCGGAATCGGAAGTTGTTGGATCGGAATCGAACAGATGGAAATCGGGTGACGGGAATCGATTCCGCGCGGGCGGAACGATTTTTCACCTAGCGGATCGATTCCCTCATCTCCAAACCCCCAACCCCATCAGACCGTCAAGACAGCGGCGTTCCGTGCTGCTGCCGTGCCGGGTAACCCGGGGGGAGTAACGTGGTAAGGGTGACGTGGAGGATGTGTGGGTGATGTGGGGAGGATGTGTGGGTGATGTGGGGAGGATGTGTGGGTGATGTGGGGAGGATGTGTGGGTGATGTGGGGAGGATGTGTGGGTGATGTGCAGGATGTGTGGGTAACGGGGAGGATGTGTGGATAACGGGGAGGGTAACGGGGAGGATGTGTAGGTGATGTGGAGGATGTGTGGGTAACGTGGTGAGGGTGACGTGGAGGATGTGTGGATGATGTGCAGGATGTGTGGGTGATGTGGGGAGGATGTGTGGGTGACGTGGAAGATGTGTGGGTAACGTGGAGGGTGTGTGGGTAACGTGGGGAGGATGTGTGGGTGACGTGGAGGATGTGTGGGTGACGTGGAGGATGTGTGGGTGATGTGCAGGATGTGTGGGTGACGTGGAGGATGACGTGGAGGATGTGTGGGTGACGTGGAGGATGTGTGGGTGATGTGGAGGATGTGTGGGTGATGTGCAGGATGTGTGGGTTACGTGGAGGATGACGTGGAGGATGTGTGGGTGACGTGGAGGATGTGTGGGTGACGTGGAGGATGTGTGGGTGACGTGCAGGATGTGTGGGTAACGGGGAGGGTGACGTGGAGGATGTGTGGGTGATGTGGAGGATGTGTGGGTAACGTGGAGGATGTGTGGGTGATGTGGAGGATGTGTGGGTAACGGGGAGGGTGATGTGGAGGATGTGTGGGTAACGTGGAGGATGTGTGGGTGATGTGGAGGATGTGTGGGTGATGTGGAGGATGTGTGGGTAACGGGGAGGGTGACGTGGAGGGTGTGTGGATAACGTGGAGGGTGTGTGGATAACGTGGAGGGTGTGTGGGTAACGTGGAGGATGTGTGGGTAACGTGGAGGATGTGTGGGTAACGTGGTCGTGGTCACTTATGCCCCCACCGAAGATGAACATCCGTGGAGGGATCCAGGCAAAGCCAATGAGTCAGATGCCTTCTATGACCTCCTGTCACAGGTGCTGTCTAAAGTGGCCCCTCGGGATAGAGTCATCCTGTTGGGTGACTTCAATGCCCGAGTTGGTCATGATGCTGGCACCTGGTCTGGAGTGATTGGAGGGCATGGGCCAGATCAGCTCAATAACAACGGTAGGAGGCTGCTAGATTTTTGTGCAGCCCATGGGCTTGTAATTACCAACACGCTGTTCCGGCATCGGCGCATCCACACAACATCATGGATGCATGCCGGGTCCAAGCAAGAACATCTGCTGGACTACGTAGTGACGGAACAGCGGATGCGGGCCCATGTCCTTGACACCAGGACCTACCGTGGAGCTAATCTGCCCACTGACCATCGACTTGTCATCTGTAAGATGCGCCTGCCATTCTTTCACTCCGCTGATGTGTGTACACCCAGGACCCCATTCATACCCATAGTGGCATGGTCTCAGCTAGCTGATGAAAGTTGCAAGCGAGAATTTCATCATCGCTTGCAGCTGGGGTTGGCATCGTCCCCCATTGCTCCTGATGTAAAGGCGAAATGGGAGAGGTTTAGGACTGTGACTCATGCAGCTGCAATGGCTGCTTTGGGTACACGGTCTAGACCTCCCCAGAGACCCTGGCTGACAGAGGAGGTGTTCAGGATGGTTGAGAAAAAGCGACAGGTCCACTCTAATCGTCTACAGCATCCCACGTCAGAGAATGAGGAAGCTTCCCGCAGCCTTCGCTCGGAGGTTCGGAGAGCCGTGAGGCACTGCAATAATGGGTGGTGGTCGCGGGTTGCTGAGGAGATGGAGTCTGCCTCAACGGACCGCGATCACAAATCGCTTTTTAATTCCATCAAAAAAGTTACCTGCAGCGCCACACCTATTACCATCATTAGGGGAAAGAACGGTGATCCAATCTCCAATCCCCAAGAACAGGTTTGCAGATTTGCTGAGTATTTCTGTGAGGTCCTGGGGGAGGGGAAATCCCTCGGCCAGGAAAACATAGTGGTACAAAGTGGGGATGACCCTGCTGAGGCTGCGGTGCCTCAAATATTGGAAGAAGTCACCCCCTGTGAGTGGTTGGCTGAGGTTCCATCTGTTGAGGAAGTACTGAAGGCGATCCAGAGCCTGAGACCAGGAAAGGCACCAGGCAGAGATGATCTCCCAAGCCAAATGCTGAGGGAGGGTGGCGTTTGTGTACAGACTGCCCTACATGACATCATTACAACAGTCTGGACCACTGGACGGGTTCCGCAGGATTGGAAGGATGCCCTGGTGGTCCCCCTCTTTAAGAAGGGGGACCGCACAGACTGTAACAACTACAGAGGCATCTCACTCCTCAGTGTGCCGGGAAAGGTCCTGGCAAGGATTATTCAACATCGCCTTGCCAGGCACGCTGGGAAGAGGCTTGCGGAGCCCCAATGTGGTTTCAGGAAAGGGCGGTTTTGCACAGATGCCATATTTTCTGTCCGTCTGCTAGAGCAGAGGTGTAGGGAATTCCAGCAAGACCTACATCTCTGCTTTATTGACCTGGTCAAGGCCTATGATACCATCAGTAGGCCTGGGCTCTGGGTCGTTCTTCGTGCTTTTGGAGTACCTGACCCTCTGCTCACGATCATTAAGGACCTTCATGATGGTGAGCGGGCCCGGGTAAAACTACGTGGCCAGGAGTCAGAGCCATTCCCTGTACACCTTGGGGTGCGACAGGAATGTCCTCTGGCTCCCACATTATTTAACATCTATTTTGACCACGTAGTTCGTGAAGCCTTCAAGAGCTGTACCGGGGGAATTTCCATTTGGTACAGATATATTGGGAGGCTGATCGATGCCCAGGTGTGGTCAAGGGATGGCTCCCTATTGGTCAACCACGTTATGTATGCCGATGATATGGTAATTGCTGCTCATTCAGAGGAGGAGTTAGAGACGCTTCTGCTGAAACTGGAGCGTACCACTAAGAGGTGGGTCCTTACCATCAGCCCTACCAAAACTAAGCACCTGCCTGGGTATTTTGTACCATCGGACACTCCACTCCCACAACTCCCAATCGGTGATGGGGCAGTTGTGGAGAGAGTGGAGAGTTTCCCATACCTGGGCAGTGTGCTCATGACCGGCTCCGGTTTGGCAGCAGAGGTATCACTCCGAATCAGTCGAGCGGCAATATCTTTTCATCGGTTGCGTAACGCTGTGTGGAAGCTACCTGGTCTGTCGCTCCGCACGAAGCTTCAGGTCTTCTCGGCCACGGTCATTCCCTCCTTTCTCGACGCTTGCGAAACGTGGACCCCCCTAATGGAGCATCTTTGCCGGTTAGAAACATTTAGGCTGGCCTGCCTACGACCCATGCTGGGGTTAACCAGGCTGGATTGTGTGAGGCGCTCACATATCCTTGAAAGATCTGGGCAAGGTCCCATCGGTGAGCTCCTCCGGCAGGCAAGGCTGCATTGGCTGGGTCACGTAGCCCGCATGCCCAGCCACCGCATGCTTAAACAGCTTTTGTTCGGCCGGATCGAGGGGGCTAAACGGGCGCAGCACGGGCTAGAGAAGAGATGGAGTGATGTGGTACAGGAGGAAGTGGAGCTGAGTGGACTTGCCGATGACTGGTACCAGCGGTGTCAAGATCCGCCTCTGTGGAGGAGGCTCGTGAAGGACGCTGCTGGGCAGTTGGAGGCAGTCGCCCTCCAACAACAACGGAGGGCGGAGGAGCGACGCTCACAACAACGAGCGGAGTGCCGGGTGGCTAAAGCACAGCAGGTTGGCACAGTAGGGGGCACAGGTGGTGCATCAGCCAGTCATCTCAGTCAGTCGACCCGTGGCACCTGCTGGGTCTGCCCCGTGACCTCCTGCCAGCGGGCGTTCGACACTTCACGTGGCCTCAGGGTGCACATGGCCTGGCACAAGCGTCGTGGTGACGTCACCGCCACTTAGTGGCGAATGGCGGTTGTTGTTGTGTGTGTGTAGGTGTGTGTGTGAGAGAGTGTGTGTGAGTGTGTGTGTGAGAGTGTGTGTGAGTGTGTGAGTGTGTGCGAGTGTGTGGGTGTGTGTCCCCCCAAGGTGACCACGCCATGCTGCCTCTGCCGCTGGAGTCGGCCGCCCGCCTGCTGTCGCTGCTCCTCTCCCTGCTGCTCCACCTGCTGCTACGGCCCGAGTCTCTGCTGCTCCTTGCGTCCGTGGCTGTGTTCTGGGCGGCCGCCAGGCACGGCCCGAGGGTGACTCGCTCGCCCAGTCACTCACCGACTCACTCAGTTACTCACCGACTCACTCAGTTACTCACCCAGTCATCACCCAGTCACTCAGTTACTCACCCAGTCACTCAGTTACTCACCCAGTCACTCGCCGACTCGCTCACTCACTCACCCAGTCATCACTCAGACACTCACCAAGTCATCACTCAGTCACTCACCGACTCACTCAGTTACTCACCAAGTCAATCACCCAGTCATCACTCACTCACCCAGTCATCACTCAGTCACTCAGTTACTCACCCAGTCACTCACCAAGTCATCACTCACTCACCCAGTCACTCACCCAGTCACTCGCCGACTCGCTCACTCACTCACCCAGTCATCACTCCGACACTCACCAAGTCATCACTCAGTCACTCACCGACTCACTCAGTTACTCACCCAGTCACTCAGTTACTCACCCAGTCACTCGCCGACTCGCTCACTCACTCACCCAGTCATCACTCAGACACTCACCAAGTCATCACTCAGTCACTCACCGACTCACTCACTCACTCACCCAGTCATCACTCAGACACTCACCAAGTCATCACTCAGTCACTCACCGACTCACTCACTCACTCACCCAGTCATCACTCAGACACTCACCAAGTCATCACTCAGTCACTCACCGACTCACTCACTCACTCACCCAGTCATCACTCAGACACTCACCAAGTCATCACTCAGTCACTCACCGACTCACTCACTCACTCACCCAGTCATCACTCAGACACTCACCAAGTCATCACTCAGTCACTCACCGACTCACTCACTCACTCACCCAGTCATCACTCAGACACTCACCAAGTCATCACTCAGTCACTCACCGACTCACTCAGTTACTCACCCAGTCACTCGCCGACTCACTCACCAAGTCATCACTCAGTCACTCACCGACTCACTCAGTTACTCACCAAGTCACTCACCCAGTCACTCACCGACTCTCACTCCCTCACCAAGTCATCACTCAGACACTCACCGACTCACCAAGTCACTCACCCAGTCACTCACCGACTCACTCACTCACCAAGTCATCACTCAGTCACTCACCGACTCACCCAGTCACTCGCCGACTCACTCACCCAGTCATCACTCAGTCACTCAGTTACTCACCCAGTCACTCGCCGACTCGCTCACTCACTCACCCAGTCATCACTCAGACACTCACCAAGTCATCACTCAGTCACTCACTGACTCACCCAGTTACTCACCCAGTCACTCGCCGACTCACTCACCAAGTCATCACTCAGTCACTCAGTCACTCAGTTACTCACCCAGTCACTCGCCGACTCACTCAGCCAGTCATCACTCAGTCACTCACCGACTCACCCAGTCACTCGCCGACTCACTCACTCACCCAGTCATCACTCAGTCGCTCACCAAGTCATCACTCAGTCACTCACCAAGTCACTCATTCTCCCAGTAGCTCACTCAGCCAGTCACTCGCCGACTCACCCAGTCACTCGCTGACTCGCTTACCTGCTGTCTGACTCGCACAGTCACTCCCTGACTCACTCAGTCACTCCCTGACTCAGGTGAATGCCACATCGGTTGAGGCCTGCCGGAGCGAGCGCACAACGGGGTGAGAGGTGCTCTGTTCGGGTGCGAGGCGTCGGGTGGTGAGGTAACAAGACGTGGGAGAATGTTGCATGGGAGATAGGGGGCAGAAGATGATGTCTCTCCGTGTCTCACTCCCCACTCCCCGTGTCTCACTCCCCGTTTCTCACTCCCCGTGTCTCTCTCTCCACTCCCCGTGTCCCACTCCCCACTCCCCGTGTCCCACTCCTCGTGTCCCACTCCCCGTGTCCCTCTCTCCCCGTGTCTCACTCCCCACTCCCTGTGTCTCACTCCCCACGTCTCTCTGTCCCCGTGTCTCACTCCCCACTCCCCGTGTCTCACTCCCCGTGTCTCACTCCCCGTGTCCCACTCCCCGCGTCTCTCTCTCCCCGTGTCTCACTCCCCGTGTCTCACTCCCCGTGTCCCACTCCCCACTCCCCGTGTCCCACTCCCCATTCCCCGTGTCTCCCTCCCCCCACTCCCCGTGTCCCACTCCCCACTCCCCGTGTCTCCCTCCCCGTGTCTCACTCTCACTCCCCGTGTCCCACTCCCCGTGTCCCACTCCCCGTGTCCCACTCCCCGTGTCCCACTCCCCGTGTCTCACTCTCACTCCCCGTGTCCCACTCCCCGTGTCCCACTCCCCGTGTCCCACTCCCCGTGTCCCACTCCCCGTGTCCCCACTCCCCGTGTCCCACTCCCCGTGTCCCACTCCCCGCGTCTCCCACTCCCCGTGTCCCACTCCCCGTGTCCCACTCCCCGTGTCCCACTCCCCGTGTCCCACTCCCCGTGTCTCACTCTCACTCCCCGTGTCCCACTCCCCGTGTCCCACTCCCCGTGTCTCACTCTCACTCCCCGTGTCCCACTCCCCGTGTCCCACTCCCCGTGTCCCACTCCCCACTCCCCGTGTCCCACTCCCCGCGTCTCCCACTCCCCGTGTCCCACTCCCCGTCTCTCACTCCCCGTGTCCCACTCCCCGTGTCTCACTCCCCGTGTCCCACTCCCGTGTCTCACTCTCACTCCCCGTGTCTCACTCTCACTCCCCGTGTCCCACTCCCCGTGTCTCACTCCCCACGCCCTGTGTCTCACTCCCCGTGTCTCACTCTCACTCCCCGTGTCTCACTCCCCGTGTCCCACTCCCCGTGTCTCACTCTCACTCCCCCTGTCCCACTCCCCACTCCCCGTGTCTCACTCCCGGTGTCTCAGTCCCACTCCCCGTGTCCCACTCCCCGTGTCCCACTCCCCGCGTCTCCCACTCCCCGTGTCCCACTCCCCGTCTCTCACTCCCCGTGTCCCACTCCCCGTGTCTCACTCCCCGTGTCCCACTCCCCGTGTCCCACTCCCCGTGTCTCACTCTCACTCCCCGTGTCTCACTCTCACTCCCGTGTCCCACTCCCCGTGTCTCACTCCCCACGCCCTGTGTCTCACTCCCCGTGTCTCACTCTCACTCCCCGTGTCTCACTCCCCGTGTCCCACTCCCCGTGTCTCACTCTCACTCCCCGTGTCCCACTCCCCGTGTCTCACTCCCGGTGTCTCACTCTCACTCCCCGTGTCCCACTCCCCGTGTCCCACTCCCCGTGTCCCACTCCCCGCGTCTCTCTCTCCCCGTGTCCCACTCCCCGTGTCCCACTCCCCGTGTCCCACTCCCCGCGTCTCTCTCTCCCCGTGTCCCACTCCCCGTGTCTCACTCCCCGTGTCCCACTCCCCACTCTCCGTGTCTCCCTCTCACTCCCCGTGTCCCACTCCCCGTGTCTCACTCTCACTCCCCGTGTCTCACTCTCACTCCCCGTGTCCCACTCCCCGTGTCCCACTCCCCGTGTCCCACTCCCCGTGTCCCACTCCCCGTGTCTCACTCTCACTCCCCGTGTCCCACTCCCCGTGTCCCACTCCCCGTGTCTCACTCTCACTCCCCGTGTCCCACTCCCCGTGTCCCACTCCCCGTGTCCCACTCCTCACTCCCCGTGTCCCACTCCCCGTGTCCCACTCCCCGCGTCTCCCACTCCCCGTGTCCCACTCCCCGTCTCTCACTCCCCGTGTCCCACTCCCCGTGTCTCACTCCCCGTGTCCCACTCCCCGTGTCCCACTCCCCGTGTCTCACTCTCACTCCCCGTGTCTCACTCTCACTCCCCGTGTCCCACTCCCCGTGTCTCACTCCCCACGCCCTGTGTCTCACTCCCCGTGTCTCACTCTCACTCCCCGTGTCTCACTCCCCGTGTCCCACTCCCCGTGTCTCACTCTCACTCCCCGTGTCCCACTCCCCACTCCCCGTGTCTCACTCCCGGTGTCTCACTCTCACTCCCCGTGTCCCACTCCCCGTGTCCCACTCCCCGCGTCTCTCTCTCCCCGTGTCCCACTCCCCGTGTCCCACTCCCCGTGTCCCACTCCCCGCGTCTCTCTCTCCCCGTGTCCCACTCCCCGTGTCCCACTCCCCGTGTCCCACTCCCCGCGTCTCTCTCTCCCCGTGTCCCACTCCCCGTGTCTCACTCCCCGTGTCCCACTCCCCACTCCCCGTGTCTCCCTCTCACTCCCCGTGTCCCACTCCCCGTGTCTCACTCTCACTCCCCGTGTCTCACTCTCACTCCCCGTGTCCCACTCCCCGTGTCCCACTCCCCGTGTCCCACTCCCCGTGTCTCACTCTCACTCCCCGTGTCCCACTCCCCGTGTCCCACTCCCCGTGTCCCACTCCCCACTCCCCGTGTCCCACTCCCCGTGTCCCACTCCCCGTGTCCCACTCCCCGTGTCCCACTCCCCGTGTCTCACTCTCACTCCCCGTGTCTCACTCTCACTCCCCGTGTCCCACTCCCCGTGTCTCACTCCCCACGCCCTGTGTCTCACTCCCCGTGTCTCACTCTCACTCCCCGTGTCTCACTCCCCGTGTCCCACTCCCCGTGTCTCACTCTCACTCCCCGTGTCCCACTCCCCGTGTCTCACTCCCGGTGTCTCACTCTCACTCCCCGTGTCCCACTCCCCGTGTCCCACTCCCCGCGTCTCTCTCTCCCCGTGTCCCACTCCCCGTGTCTCACTCCCCGTGTCCCACTCCCCGTGTCCCACTCCCCGCGTCTCTCTCTCCCCGTGTCCCACTCCCTGTGTCTCACTCCCCGTGTCCCACTCCCCGCGTCTCTCTCTCCCCGTGTCCCACTCCCCGTGTCCCACTCCCCGTGTCCCACTCCCCGCGTCTCTCTCTCCCCGTGTCCCACTCCCCGTGTCCCACTCCCCGTGTCTCACTCCCCGTGTCCCACTCCCCGCGTCTCTCTCTCCCCGTGTCCCACTCCCCGTGTCCCACTCCCCACTCCCCACTTCCCGTGTCCCACTCCCTGTGTCCCACTCCCCACTCCCCGCGTCTCTCTCTTCGTGTCCCACTCCCCGTGTCCCACTCCCCGTGTCTCACTCTCACTCCCCGTGTCTCACTCTCACTCCCTGTGTCCCACTCCCCACTCCCCGTGCCCCACTCCCCGTGTCCCACTCCTCAGCTGCGCTCCCTTCCAACCTCCCTCCGCCGCTCCCTCCGCCGCTTCGCCTCCCGCGGCCCCTCCACCCCCCCGGAGCCGTCCCCCCTCACCGGGGGGGGTCCCCCGTGCCCCCCCCCGGCGGGAGTGCCCTGGGGGGCCTGGACGTCGGCCCACCGCCCCCGCGTCACGTGGCAGTACCGCTCGCGCGGGGTGGCGGTGTTCGCCTTGCAAGGCCGGAGGGAGCACATGGAAGACCGCTTCGCCGTGGCGCATGGGGAAGCGGCCGCTCCGGCCGGGGCGGCCGGGGAGGCCGGGGAGGCCGCCCCTCGCTGCGGCCGCCGTCACCGCCACGCTCTCTACGGGGTGTTCGACGGGCACGGTGGGGAGGTGCGTGCCCCACCCCCCTCCCCCCCCCCTCCGCCCCCCCCCCCCGCCGCCGCCCCCCTCCGTCGGATATTGATGCAGGGACAAAGATCAATGTCAATATCGCCAGCGTGATCATCATTATCGCCAGCGTCATCATCAATGTCGCCAGCGTCATCATCAATATCGCCAGCGTCATCATCAATATCGCCAGCGTGATCATCATTATCGCCAGCGTCATCATCAATATCGCCAGCGTCATCATCATTATCGCCAGCGTCAACATCATTATCGCCAGCGTCATCATCATTATCGCCAGCGTCATCATCATTATCGCCAGCGTCATCAATATCGCCAGTGTCATCATCATTATCGCCAGCGTCATCATCAATATCGCCAGCGTCATCATCATTATCGCCAGCGTCATCATCAATATTGCCAGCATCATCATCAATATCGCCAGCGTCATCATCATTATCGCCAGCGTCATCATCAATATCGCCAGCGTCATCATCAATATCGCCAGCGTCATCATCAATATCGCCAGCGTCATCATCAATATCGCCAGCGTCATCATCATTATCGCAGCGTCATCATCAATATCGCCAGCGTCATCATCATTATCGCCAGCGTCATCATCATTATCGCCAGCATCAATATCGCCAGCGTCATCATCGCAGCGTCATCATCAATATCGCCAGCGTCATCATCATTATCGCCAGCGTCATCATCATTATCGCCAGCGTCATCATCAATATCGCCAGCGTCATCATCAATATCGCCAGCGTCATCATCAATATCGCCAGCGTCATCATCATTATCGCCGGCGTCATCATCAATATCGCCGGCGTCATCAATATCGCCAGTGTCATCATCAATATCACCACCGTCATCAACATCACCACCATCATCAACATCACCACCATCATCAACATCACCACCATCATCAACACCACCATCATCAATATCACCATCGTCATCATCATCACCACCATCATCAACATCACCATCGTCATCATCAATATCACCATCGTCATCATCAATATCACCACCGTCATCAATATCACCACCATCATCAATATCACCACCATCATCAATATCACCACCATAATCATCAATATCACCATCATCAACATCACCACCATCATCAATATCACCACCACCACCATGATCAATATCACCACCACCATCATCAATATCGCCAGCGTCATCAATATCACCACCGTCATCAATATCAACACCGTCATCATCAATATCATCATTAACATCACCACCTTCATCATCAACATCACCACCGTCATCAACATCACCACCTTCATCATCATCGCCACCGTCATCAACATCACCACCATCATCAACATCACCATCATCAATATCACCAGTCATCATCACCACTGTCATCAATATCACCACCATCATCTATCACCACCATCATCAATATCACCACCGTCATAAATATCACCACCATCATCAACATCACCACCGTCATCAACATCACCATCACCATCGTCATCAATATCACCACTGTCATCAATGGGCAGTGTTGAGTCTATGGTGCAATGTTGAGTCTGTGGTGTAGTGTTGAGTCTACGGTGCAGTGCTGAGTCTATGGCGCAGTGTTGAGTCTATGGTACAGTGTTGAGTCTATGATGTCGTGTTGAGTCTATGGTGCAGTGCTGAGTCTATGGTGCAGTGTTGAGTCTATGGTGCAGTGTTGAGTCTACGGTGCAGTGTTGAGTCTATGGGCAGTGTTGAGTCTATGGTGCAGTTTTGAGTCTATGGGCAGTGTTGAGTCTATGGTGCAGTGTTGAGTCTATGGTGCAGTTTTGAGTCTATGGGCAGTGTTGAGTCTATGGGCAGTGTTGAGTCTACGGTGCAGTGTTGAGTCTATGGGCAGTGTTGAGTCTATGGTGCAGTGTTGAGTCTATGCTGCAGTGTTGAGTCTATGGTGCAGTGTTGAGTCTATGGTACAGTGTTGAGTCTACGGTGCAGTTTTGAGTCTATGGTGCAGTGTTGAGTCTACGGTGCAGTGTTGAGTCTACGGTGCAGTGTTGAGTCTATGGGCAGTGTTGAGTCTATGGTCCAGTGTTGAGTCTATGGTGCAGTGTTGAGTCTATGGGCAGTGTTGAGTCTGTGGTGCAGTGTTGAGTCTATGGTGCAGTGTTGATTTTATGGTGCAGTGTTGAGTCTGTGGTAGTGTTGAGTCTATGGTGCAGTGTTGAGTCTATGGTGCAGTGTTGAGTCTATGGTGCAGTGTTGAGTCAATGGGCAGTGTTGAGTCTATGGTGCAGTGTTGAGTCTATGGTGCAGTGTTGAGTCTATGAGCATTGTTGAGTCTATGGGCAGTGTTGAGTCTATGATCATTGTTGAGTCTATGGTGCAGTGTTGAGTCTATGGTGCAGTGTTGAGTCTGTGGTGCAGTGTTGAGTCTATGGTGCAGTGTTGAGTCTATGGTGCAGTGGTGAGTCTATGGTGCAGTATTGAGTCAATGGATAGTGTTGAGTCTATGGGCAGTGTTGAGTCAATGGGCAGTGTTGAGTATATGGTGCAGTGTTGAGTCTATGGGCAGTGTTGAGTCAATGGGCAGTGTTGAGTCTATGGTGCAGTGTTGAGTCTATGGGCAGTGTTGAGTCTGTGGTGCAGTGTTGAGTCTATGGTGCAGTGTTGAGTCTATGGTGCAGTGTTGAGTCTATGGGCAGTGTTGAGTCTACGGTGCAGTGCTGAGTCTACGGTGCAGTGTTGAGTCTATGGTACAGTGTTGAGTCTATGGGCAGTGTTGAGTCTACGGTGCAGTGTTGAGTCTATGGTGCAGTGTTGAGTCTATGGTGCAGTGTTGAGTCTATGGGCAGTGTTGAGTCTATGGGCAGTGTTGAGTCTCTGGGCAGTGTTGAGTCTATGGTGCAGTGTTGAGTCTATGGTGCATTGTTGAGTCTATGGGCAGTGTTCAGTCTATGGTACAGTGCTGAGTCTATGGTGCAGTGTTGAGTCTATGGTGCAGTGTTGAGTCTATAGTGCAGTGTTGAGTCTATGGGCAGTGTTGAGTCTATGGTGCAGTGTTGAGTCTATGGGCAGTGTTGAGTCTCTGGTGCAGTGTTGAGTCTATGGTGCAGTGTTGAGTCTATGGTGCAGTGTTGAGTCTATGGTGCAGTGTTGAGTCTATGGTGCAGTGTTGAGTCTATGGTGCAGTGTTGAGTCTATTGTGCAGTGTTGAGTCTATGGGCAGTGTTGAGTCTATGGGCAGTGTTGAGTCTATGGTGCAGTGTTGAGTCTGTGGTGCAGTGTTGAGTCTGTGGTGCAGTGTTGAGTCTATGGTGCAGTGTTGAGTCTATGGTGCAGTGTTGAGTCTATGGTGCAGTGTTGAGTCTATGGGCAGTGTTGAGTCTATGGTGCAGTGTTGAGTCTATGGGCAGTGTTGAGTCTATGGTGCAGTGTTGAGTCTCTGGGGGAGTGTTGAGTCTATGGTGCAATGTTGAGTCTATGGTGCAGTGTTGAGTCTATGGTGCAGTGTTGAGTCTCTGGGGGAGTGTTGAGTCTATGGTGCAATGTTGAGTCTATGGTGCAGTGTTGAGTCTATGGTGCAGTGTTGAGTCTATGGGCAGTGTTGAGTCTATGGTGCAGTGTTGAGTCTATGGTGCAGTGTTGAGTCTATGGTGCAGTGTTGAGTCTATGGTGCAATGTTGAGTCTATGGTGCAGTGTTGAGTCTATGGTGCAGTGTTGAGTCTATGGGCAGTGTTGAGTCTATGGTGCAGTGTTGAGTCTATGGTGCAGTGTTGAGTCTATGGTGCAGTGCTGAGTCTATGGTGCAGTGTTGAGTCTATGGTACAGTGTTGAGTCTATGGTGCAGTGTTGAGTCTATGGTACAGTGTTGAGTCTATGGTACAGTGTTGAGTCTATGGTGCAGTGTTGAGTCTATGGTGCAGTGTTGAGTCTATGGTGCAGTGTTGAGTCTCGAGGGCCCTGCGGTTACCCCGACCGTTGCGCACCCCCGCTAGGCGGCGGCGGAGTACGTGAAGCGGCGTTTGCCGGACTACTTGCGGCGGCGCCTGGCGGAGGGAGACGGTGCGGACGTGGAGACGGCGCTGCGTGACGCCGTGCGGCGCACCGAGATGGAGCTCATGGAGACGCTCGGGCCCGCCGGCAATGAGGCCGGTGCGCAGAGTTCACCGCCAGAGTTCAGAGTTCACCGCTAGAGTTCAGAGTTCACCGCCCGAGTTCACCGCCAGAGTTCACCGCCAGAGTTCAGAGTTCACCGCCAGAGTTCAGAGTTCACCGCCAGAGTTCAGAGTTCACCGCCCGAGTTCACCGCCAGAGTTCAGAGTTCACCGCCAGAGTTCAGAGTTCACCGCCCGAGTTCACCGCCCGAGTTCACCGCCAGAGTTCACCGCCCGAGTTCACCCCCCGAGTTCACTGCCAGAGTTCAGAGTTCACCGCCAGAGATCACCGCCCGAGTTCACTGGCTGCAGCTGCTGCTACTGCAGCACGTGTTCCCTCATCTCCCGTGTCTTCCGCCGTGTCTCCCTGTGTCTTCCCATGTCTCTCTGTCTCAACCCCTGCCTCCCCATGTCCCCTCATCTCCCGTGTCTCCCTGTCTCTTTCCATGTCTCCCCGTGTCTCCCCGCTCCTGCCTCCTCGTGTCCCCTCATCTCCCGTGTCTCCCCTCATCTCCCGTGTCTTTCCATGTCTCCCCTCCTGCCTCCTCTCATCTCCTGTGTCTTCCCATGTCTCCCCGTGTCCCCCTCACCTCCCGTGCGCCTCCCCTGGCCTCCCCGCCGTGCGTCCCCCCCTCCCGCGCGGCGCCTCTCTCTGCGCGCAGGCACCACGTGCGTGCTGGCGGTGGAGTCGGCGGGGCGACTCTACGTGGCCAACGTGGGCGACTCGCGCGCGGTGCTGTGCGACGCCCGCGGCTGCGCCCTCGCCCTCTCCCACGACCACAAACCGCACCAGCTCAAGGAGCGGCAGCGCATCAAGCGCGCCGGTGAGCACGCCGCAACGGCGCACCGCGCGGCGGCGGCGGCGGCGTGCCACGCAGTGTGGCGCGCGGTGAGCCGCAGACGTCTCTCTCTCCCCCGCCCCCCCTCCTCCCCGCTCAGGCGGCTTCATCAGCTACAACGGCTCGTGGCGCGTGCAGGGCGTCCTGGCCATGTCCCGCTCCCTCGGCGACTTCCCGCTCAAGCGCATGGGCGTCGTGACGGCGGAGCCCGACGTCACGGCCGTGGACCTGTCCCTCGTGCGGCCCCGCTTCCTGCTGCTGGCCAGCGACGGCCTCTGGGACGCCTTCGGCAGCCAGGAGGCGGTCGCCTTCGTGTCCGAGCGCCTCGGCGAGCCGCACCTCGGCGCCAAGAGCGTGGCGCTGCAGGCCTTCTACCGCGGCTGCCCCGACAACATCACCGTGGTGGTGGTGCGCTACCGCCCGCCGCGGGCCGGCGTCGCCGCGGCCGCCGCCGCCACCGCCGGTTCCGCCACCCCGCGGCAGGCGGCCAGGACCGCCTGCTGATGGGGAGGGCGGCGGTGGATGGAGGTGGTGGGGAGGGTGAAAGGGACGCGGGGGGTGCTGGTGGACGTGAACAGAGCGTGGGGGGGGGGGGGGGGTTCCGATCCGGTGTCTCCGGAGGGGGGTGGACTCCCGGAAGCGTGGACGCGATTCCACGGCGCGGGAATGCTCGATCCCGTAACCCTCGGCTCAAATTCCGCGATCCCGAGCCGCGATCCCGAGCCGCGATCCCCGAGGCACTCGAGTCGAATCCTGCATCCTTCCGTTAGGCTCCTGTGGTTTCGGAGAAGAATCCTCCAACCCGGATTGTGACCCCCCCTCACCGTAGCTCTGGGACCTGGTTTTAGAGGTGCGAGTTCATTCCCCGAGCCGCCTATAACCCCCGGGGATCGCGTTGAAATTCACCGTCCGCCGTGTTGATCTCGTGATCCGCGGAAAGGCCCTGTGACCCCCGGGTAGAATCCTACAACTCCAGCAAGCGCCATCCCCTTATCGATTCTCGCGGTGTGGATTCGGTCACGTGGCTCTGGGTTGAATCCGGTAGGATTTCGTTGAAGCCGCTATCTCGCGAGATCGGTCCTACAGATCGAGCGTCGCAGTGGGCTGGTCGAGACGGAGACTCGGCGCGAAACCCCCCCCCATAAACACTGGGGTTGACCCCAGAGACCTGGGTTAGATTCCCAGCGAGGGGTGGACAGGACCGCTACGAACAGTTTGTGGCCATTTATTCATAATAATGTTAACTTATTAATAGCAGGTGACGATGTTGACGATGTTGACGACGTGTTTCTCACGACTCGGTCGGCGGACCCAGAATATAATATAATATATACCCGGAACACCAGGTATGATTACAATCTACCGCCCCCCGCCAAGTGTGTTAAGGCTACGCGGGGGATCTGCGCGTGTCTGGTGTGCGAGCGCAACGTCTCTGTCGTAAGCTGCTGCGAGCACTAGATGATCGAATAAAAATATTAAAACTGCGAACGCACGCAACGCAACTTGTCAATCGTCGTTCTGGGCAACGGGCGCCCGAGGCGAACGCCGACCGGGTGTCCAGGAGCCGCTGTGCTCCGGCTCGCCAGGGGAGGGCGCCGCCCGCGGCGGTGCTGGTGCGGTGGTGGCGGTGGTGTGGTGGTGGCGATAGCGGAGGGGTGGTGGTGGTGCGGTGGTGGAAGGGGGGTGTGGTGTGGTGTTGATGGTGGAAGGATTGCGGCGGCAGTGGTGGCGGCGGTGGTGCAGCGGTGGTACAGCGGTGGTGCGGTGGCGATAGCGGAGGGGTGGTGGTGGTGCGGTGGCGGAGGGGTGGTGGTGCGGTGCTGGTGCGGTGGTGGTGGTGTGGTGGCGATAGCGGAGGGGTGGTGGTGGAGGGGGGGTGGTAGTGGTGCGGTGGTGGTGGTGTGGTGTTGATGGTGGAGAGGTTGCGGTGGCGGTGGTGCAGCGGTGGTGCGGTGGCGATAGCGGAGGGGTGGTGGTGGTGCGGTGGCGGAGGGGGGGGTGGAGGTGCGGTGGTGATTGCGGAGGGGTCGTGAAAGGGCGGTGGCGATGGCGGAAGGGTGGCGGAAGGGTGGCGGTGGTCGCGTGTGGCGGGGTTAAAGTCAGGGTAACGCCAACCACTTCCCAGAGGTCCGTCCAGCGTGGAAGAACGGTCAATAGCAGTGACGCGGGCGGGCAATTGCAGGGCCTGCGCCTTTCACCTTCCCCCCCCCCCCCCAACCACAAGTTTCATTCTGCCTTGGCCACACAGGCAAAACGGAGCGTGGGGCGATTGTACACTTTATTTATACCAGTTGGGAAGAGGGAATGCACAGGCAGGTGTGTATCAGGCAGGTGTCTTGGAAAGGTAGACTGTGCGTCCGACAGGGGAAACTGTCCGCCGGGTGGACACCGGTGAACCCAAGTGTGACAGGGCGAACCTCTTGACGGGTGACGCACGTGAACCGTGGACCTCTGTGCGTTCCCGACAGGTCGAACAGGTGACCCCCGACCCCCGACCCCCGTGCATTCCGACCAGGTGACACGGGCGACGGCTCCGTGCCCTTGCGAGAGACGGGACGCGAGAATCCGTCTGGATTCCGAAACGAAATCTTGGGACTCGAAGCTTTTGTGACCGCAGGAATTCAGAAGCCTTTGGGTCTTCCGGTAAAGTAACGTCGATAGGTTCGGGGGAAATAACAAAAACGGGCGGCGACCGCTGCGGATGGGTGGGGTGGGTGGGTGGAGTTGTTGCGATCGAAACGTCGTCCGATTTTTTTTTATTTCCTTTGAACCCATCTACGCCACGTGACTTTCACCGGAAGGTCCCAGAGGAGATACGGTTTCTGAAACTACCCGTCGCCTGACCACCGTTACCACGGGGCAGCCGTCTATTCGCGGGCGCGAAAACAAATATGCGGGGTTTTATCAAAAGTTACACAAAATGACAAAACTAAAAGTCCCTGCGCGCGCACGCACGCACACACGCACGCACGTGCGTGCACGCACGCACACACGCGTGTGACGGGGGGCAGAAATCGAGGTCGCTGCACTCGTACCGCGTACAACCCCAACGCGACTCAACGCGCGCTTGCACGCACACCGATAGGAACTGAAACGAAAATAAATAACGGCTCACGCTCCCGTCGCCACTGGGCGAGGGGCCTGCTGTTTGTGTAGCTCTCGTGCAAGTGGTGTGCAAGTGGTGTGCAAGTGGTGTGCAAGTGGTGTGCCTGTACGCGCGTGTGTGCGTGCGCGCGTTAATATGCAGTGCGTGTATGTGCAGTGTGTGTGCAATGTGTGTGTGCATTGTGTGCAATGTGTGTGCGCAATGTTTGTGTGCGGTGTGTGTGTGTGCGGTGTGTGTGTGTGTGGTGTGTGCGGTGTGTGTGTGTGCATTGTGTGCGGTGTGTGTGCGCAATGTTTGTGTGCGGTGTGTGTGTGTGCGGTGTGTGTGTGTGCGGTGTGTGTGTGTGCGGTGTGTGTGTGTGCATTGTGCGAGGTGTGTGTGTGCGGTGTGTGTGTGTGTGCGGTGTGTGTGTGTGCGGTGTGTGTGTGTGCATTGTGTGCGGTGTGTGTGTGCGGTGTGTGTGTGTGCGGTGTGTGTGTGTGCGGTGTGTGTGTGTGCGGTGTGTGTGTGTGTGTGCGCGGTATGTGTGCATGTGTGTGTGCGGTGTGTGTGTGCGGTGTGTGTGTGGTGTGTGTGTGTGCGCGGTATGTGTGCGTGTGTGTGTGCGGTGTGTGTGTGCGGTGTGTGTGTGCGGTGTGTGTGTGCGGTGTGTGTGTGTGCGCGGTATGTGTGCGCGGTGTGTTTGCATGTTGCATGCGGTGTGTGTGTGTGTGCGGTGTGTGTGTGTTGTGTCAACGCGCGGCGCCACGAACCCGGCCCCCGCGAGTTCGACCGCCCTCCCCCCTCCCCGCTCACGACGACCATCACCAACACACCGGTCTTGCCCACCCCGTGTGCCGTGCCGAACCTAGCGGGGCGCTGCCCGTGAACGGCGCTTCCAAGGGACCCGTGAGGTTGACGAGCGTCGCTCTGCGCGTGGGGCGGGTGGCGGTCTCTCATGCCGGGAGTCCGCCGGCTCTTTATTTATTTTTCCCCTCCCTCCCCCCCCCCCCCCCCAGAAGCGAGCCGCTAATTACGAACGATCGCTCGGCCGAGTGGCTTGCCATCGTCCGCGTGGAAATTTCGAGCAGCCGCCGGCCAAGCGCCCTTTTGAAAACGCGTGACGGTGATCCTAAGGGGGAGGGGAGAAACCGGAGGTTCCCGGAGAAAAATCCACACGGCCGCGATGAGGAGAGAAAGAGAGACACCACAAACTCCAAATATACAGCAGGCCTCAAGGGGTCGGGGATCGAACCCAGGACCTCCTGCGCACCAGGCGAGGGAGTTAACTTCTCCTGTGTCTCTCCCCGTGTCTCTCTCCCCCCGTGTCTCTCTCCCCGTGTCTCTCTCCCCCAGTGTCTCTCTCTCCCCGTCTCTCTCCCCCCGTCTCTCTCCCCGTCTCTCTCCCCGTGTCTCTCTCTCCCCGTCTCTCTCCCCGTGTCTCTCTCTCCCCGTGTCTCTCTCTCCCCGTGTCTCTACCCGTGTCTCTCCCAGTCTCTCTCCCCGTCTCTCTCCCCGTCTCTCTCTCAGTCTCTCCCCCCGTCTCTCTCCCCGTCTCCCTCCCCGTCTCCCTCCCCGTCTCTCTCCCCGTCTCTCTCTCTCTCAGTCTCTCTCCCCGTCTCTCTCAGTCTCTCTCCCCGTCTCTCTCCCCGTCTCTCTCCCCGTCTCTCTCCCCGTCTCTCTCCCCGTCTCTCTCCCCGTCTCTCTCCCCGTATCTCTCCCCGTCTCTCTCCCCGTATCTCTCTCCGTCTCTCTCCCCGTCTCTCTCCCCGTCTCTCTCCACGTCTCTCTCCCCGTCTCTCTCTCAGTCTCTCTCCCCGTCTCTCTCCCCGTCTCTCTCTCTCAGTGCGGTGGTGCCCGGCGCTGACTGCGTGCGCTGCCGAGGGAGAGTCGCAGGTGGGGGTTGCGTGCCCGGTAGTGCTCGTTGAAGTCGAGGCGGAACGACAGGAAGCGGAGGCTCTCATCGGAGCTGCGCGTCAGCATCACGAGGAACTGCTGCACGATGTCCTGCTCGCGGACACGGGGACACGGGCGGAGACAGAGACACGCACACACACACACACAGAGACACACACACACAGACACACAGAGACACACACACAGATACACACAGACAGAGACACACACACACACAGAGACACACACACAGAGACACGCACACACAGACACACAGAGACACACACACAGATACACACAGACAGAGACACACACACACACAGAGACACACACACAGAGACACGCACACACACACAGAGACAGACACACAGAGACAGACACACACACAGAGACAGACACACAGAGACAGACAACCACACACAGAGACACACACACACAGAGACACACACACAGAGACAAACACACACACACAGAGACACACGAAGAGACACACACACACACAGAGACACACACACAGAGACACACACACAAAGACACACACACAGAGACACACACAGACACACAGATACACACACAAAGACACAGATACACACACACACACACAGACACACACACACACAGAGACACACACAGACACAGACACACAGAGACACACACACACAGAGACAGGTCATCGCTGTACACCAGTGCTTGCTACACAGCGTCCTGCACGCGTACACAACAGAGCCCTCGCCTACAGGGTACCTTGGCCTACTCTTCCACACTGGTCTCACGCGACCTGCCGATCGACTGACTGCGGTGTTGCCATTTGCACTGCGGAGTGAACACGTGCAGGACAGCAGCTGCCTCATCAGCAAGAGAGAAGATTCCCGGACAGGTGGGAAACCCTCCCCTACCCAAACACAAAACGCGGCACACACTGCCCAATTACACCGTGCGCGAGGCCCCCGGCGGGGAAGCAAACGCACTCGGCGACGTTTCAGGCAATGGGCCTCCTCCATGGCACACGTGCAGGCATGTGCCTATCCCAAAGGCCCCGGGGTGCTCCGGTTGATCCGGGGGGGGGGGGGGGGCCACACGTTGCCCGGTTAAGTCTCCAACGAAAACCGGTCCCCCCGGCGGCGCCAAAAAGTTTGGGAGGGCCGCTGCCGTGCACGGGCCCCCACGCAGGCCGTGGTGGCGAAGTTACGTTGTCAATGAGTTGCGGTCGGCCTGGTGGTTTACCGCCACGGGTTGTTAACTCTGTTCAAAGAGAGCGAAAGTTACCCCCATCCCCCGCGCGCTTGGCGTCAAGTAAACGTGTCGCATACTCTTTGGTTCTATTCGGTAAAGTCACGTAGGTAACAAAAAAAAATAAAACAACCGAATAGAGCCAAAGAGTGTGGATCCTTGCAGTCACGAGAGCTTCAGATCTAGAATTAAACGTGTCGGCCTCCGAGCGCACGTCCGCGGGTTATGGAGAGTTGCACGTGGCGCTCTCTCTCCCCCCGTGCGTAGCGGGGAGCGTGACGAGGAGGAGGAGGAGGGAAGGAGGCGACGCCGCACCTGGTAGGACTGTGTGAGCACGCGGAGTTGGGAGCGAGTCTTCGGCACGAAGTGAGAACGGAACTCGGAGATTCTCTGCTCCTCGTGCAGCTCTCGCGCCTCCGTGGTGCCCCACTCGCCCTGCTCGCGCACGCACGCACGCATACATACATACACACGCACACACACATACACACACACGCACACACACACATACATACACACGCACACGCACACACACACATACATACACACGCACACACACATACACACATACATACACACGCACACACACATACACACGCACACACACATACACACATACATATACACGCACACACACATACACACGCACACACACATACACACATACATACACACGCACACACACATACACACACACGCACGCACGCACGCAGGCATGCATCCATACACACATACATACATACACACGCACACACACACATACACACGCACGCACGCACACAGGCACGCATCCATACATACACACATACACACACACGCAGGCAGGCAGGCACGCACGCACACAGGCACGCATGCACACAGGCACGCACGCACGCATACACACACACACATACACACACACGCAGGCAGGCACGCACGCACACACACACATACATACACACATACACGCACACAGGCACGCATCCATACATACACACACACATACACACACACACATACACACGCACACAAACACACGCACGCACACATACACACATGCACACACGCACACATACACACACACGCACATACACACACACGCAGGCAGGCACACACGCACACACATACATACACACATACATACATACACACGCATACATACACACGCACGCAGGCAGGCACACACGCACAGGCACGCATCCATACATACACACACACACACAGGCACGCATCCATACATACACACGCATGCAGGCACGCATCCATACATACACACACATGCACGCAGGCAGGCACACACGCACACAGGCATGCATGCACACATACACACATACACACACACGCACGCAGGCACGCACGCAGGCACGCATCCATACATACACACATACACACATATACACACACGCATGCAGGCATACATACATACAGGCATACATACAGGCACGCATACACACGCACGCATACACACGCACGCACACACACACATGCACGCATGCATGCACACAGGCACGCATGCACACATTCACACGCACGCATGCATACACACGCACACAGGGACGCATGCACACATACACACGCACGCGGGCACGCACGCACGCACACACACACACAGGCACGCATGCACACACGCACGCACGCATGCACACACACGCAGGCAGGCACGCATGCACACATTCATACGCACGCACGCACGCACGCACACACGCACGCACGCACGCACACACACACGCACGCACAACATGCACAACACACACACACACACGAGTTTAACAGGGCGCCCGCCAGCAGCGCTTGCCCCGACGAGGGGGGGAAATCCCCGGCGTCGCGCGAGCGAGCGAGCGAGCAGCAGCAGCAGCAGCAGCAGCAGCGTGACGCCCTGCGTTACCGCGCGCTGGCGGGCCGCCACCTCCTCCTGGCGCTGCAGCCGCAGCTGCAGCTCCTGCAGGGCGGCGCGCTGCATGCCCTCCTGCGCCGCCTGGAACTGCACGATCTGGTCGAATATCGCCCTGAGCTGGGCCAGCATCAGCTGCGTGCGCCAGACACGCACACGCACGCACACACACAGGGCGGAGGAGGAGGAGAGGTTAGGGGAGAGGTGACGGGGGTGCCACGCTGGCTAGGAGGTGTTAACGGCCTGCTTGGCTCAGCACGTTGTCCATTGCAGCATGTTCAGCAGAATAACGGGGTTTTTTTTATTGCGAGGATTCATGTTTACCGCGTTAACCTACAATGCCTGCGGTCAAAAGTGCAGACGGAAAACAGCACTCTGATATTCTGGATTTGAAGCTTTCGTGACTGCAAGGATCCATACTCTTTGGTTCTATTCGGTAAAGTCACGTAGGTAAAAAATAAAACAACAACAACAATCACGATATACTTTTCTCAGATACCAAGGTCCTTTGTAAACCCACAGGTTTTCATCAGAGATTTATCCACGAGGCAATTCAGATCTACAAACGCAGACAATTTCAACCGAGAAGATGGTTTCAAATTAAGCAACCATTGGAAAGACGTTCTAAATCGTACCAAACATTAAATTAATTTTCAATAATATTTATCCAAATAGTGACATACCAAACTTTCATAGAAGCTTATTTCACTTCACACCTACATTTGTAAACTCCCCTCCCCCCCTCCATGCCGGTCCTCTTGTGCTTTACGGTGATTTTATGCTAATTCCTTTGTCAAAGCGTTTTGTTTCCTCCCACACAGCTTAAAAGGACGCGACCTGGCCTGGACTGTCTTCTTCACTCCAACGCTGTTCTCGTGACAGCACGGCCCCCTTCACCTGATGAAGGCCACTTGTGTTGTGGCCGAAACGTCGTGATTTTTGTTGTTTTATTGTTTTACCTACGTGACTTGACCGAATAGAACCAAAGAGTATAGCACTCTGATAATATGATGATGCATTGTGCTTGCAACTGATTGGTCCGCACCAAGGGGACGGCTTTCTTTTGAGCCTCGAAACCCAATTGGTGCTCGACCAAACGACGCCAAAAGGCGTCACACACAGCTCAAAGACAATGCCACTATCAAAGTAATGAGGGCTCGGGGTGAGCATCTACATCATTAGACCTCCTTTGTCAGTACCAAGATATAATAATAGGGTGGTTTTTCCCCTTTTGTCTGGCAACAAAACTGTGAAACCGTTTTACAAGGATTCATGTTTACTGCATTAACTACAATACCTGCAGTCAAAATGCAAACAAAAAACATACTAAATTTTGATTTAAAGCTTTCGTGACTGCAGTAATTCATATTCTTAGTTTTTTTGGTAAAGTCACGTTGAAGAGAAACAACAAAATAATAAAATATATATAAAACAATAAAAAATTCTCATGACGTTTCGACCATAACTCAAACGGTCGTCTTCAGGTGTGTTGGTTCGCATACATTTATTTTTAAATATAAATGCGCCGTTTAAAAATAAATTTATGCGAACCAACACACCTGAAGACGACCGTTTGAGTTATGGTCAAAACGTCATGAGAATTTTTTATTGTTTTATATATATTTTATTATTTTGTTGTTTCTCTTCAACGTGACTTTACCGAAAAAACTAAGAATATAAAAAACATACTATGATAATAAATGCATTCATACTCTTTGGTTCTATTGGGTAAAGTCATGTAGGTAAAAAATAAAATAACATTATTTTTTTACCTACGTGACTTTACCCAATAGAAGCAAAGAGTATGGATCCTAGCAGTCACGAAATCTTTAAATCTAGAATATATGCATTGTCCTTGAAACTGATTGGTCCGCACCAAGGGGACGGCTTTCTTTTGAGCCTCGAAACCCAATTGGTTGCTCGACCAGACGACGCCAAAAGGCGTCACACAGCTCAAAGACAACGCCGCTGTCAAAAGTGATGAGGGCTCGCTCGGGGTGACCATCTACATCATTAAGACCTCCTTTGCCAGTACCGAAAATATCATATTTGTTTTGGGTACTGGCAAAGGAGGTCTAATGACATGTTCAGCATGTTTAGTGACTTCCGTTTTTCCCTCTTTGATCTTCCCACGCCGCGCCCCCCCGGCTCCAAGCACCCCACTCTGTATCTCCTGCTGCAGATTTATTGCCCAGCTCAGCAGTTTGTTTCCAACTGCTGCGTCCCCACCTGATGATGGGCGCTGGTGTTGTGCCCGAAACGTCGTGATTTTATTGAGTTGTTTTCGTTTTTGTTCGATTTTTTTCACCCACGCGATGGACTTTGCCGAAAGAACCAAAGAATATGGATTCCTTGCGGTCACGGAAACTTCTAATCAAGATGTTGACTGCCTCGCCTGGTACGCAGGAGGTCGTGGGTTCCATCCCGACCCTGACGATGCCTGCTGTTGCTGTATATGTGGAGTCTGCGTCTCTCTCTCTCATCATCATCACGGTGGCTAGGAGATGTTAACTACCTCGCCTGGTACACAGGAGGTCGTGGGTTCGATCCCGACCCTGACGATGTCTGCTGCTGTATATTTGAAGTCTGTGTCTCTCTCTCTCTCTCATCACCACGGTGGCTAGGAGATGTTAACTACCTCGCCTGGTCTACAGGAGGTCGTGGCTTCCATCCCGACCCTGACAAGCTGCCATTCTCTCGTCTCTCTCCCCGTGGCCACGCGGATTCCTCTCCGGGTCGTTCCGTTCAACGTCAGCGCGTGGTACGAACGTGACGTCGTCGAAGACCAGAGGGCATGGGGTGGGTAGGCGGGAGCAACGATCATCGCGTGCACGGGGATGACGCAGCTGCACAATCGTAATAAACACAAGTAGATTTTTTTGTTATTTAAAGCTCTCGTGACTGCAGGGGAATTCATACTCTGGGTTCTTTCGGTAAAGCCGCCACCACGTTAGAAGGGAAAATGATAAGATGATAAAAATGTAAAACAATACAATTCTCGCGACTTTTCGACTGCAACAAGAGGCAATCATCATCAGGTGTGAAAACCCACAGCAAATGTTTGCACATTTTTCTTGCCGTGGTTCTCACACCCCGACGATGACTACAGTCGAAACCGTCGCGAGAATTTTATTGTTTGATATTTTTATTATTCTATCGTTTTCCCTTGTGGTGACTTTACCGAAAGAACCAAGAATATAAACAAAAAAATAGTTCACTACTTTAGCCCACCGGGTGTGTGTTGACGAGTGAACCCACGCTTATTTTGAGTACTCAAAAATGTATAAATGCTGTGGGATTCGCTCTTCGACGCACCGGCGGGGCTAAAGTAGTGAACCATTTTGTCGTTGGTCAACGCGACGCTTTTTTTTTTTGTTTAACCGATCGCCCGTGTCGGGTGGTGGAGGGTTACGGCACATTAATAAAAAAAAAACGCGACCTAACCCAAAGAAACGTTTATCATGAATGGTACCGGTCGCGAGAGCCTGCTACGTGTTTAGCTCCACTCTCGCTCACGCGCCCAACGCACGCGGTAGTCGCACGGTAGTCACCGCCCCCCCGGCACATCGCCCCCGTGAGTCGGCGTGTACCCGCGAGTCAGCGTCGAGGAGACAGCGGGAGACGCAGGAGGAGAGGAACTCCTGGTGGGCGGCGATCACGTGGTCCAGGGCGGGCGCCGCGCGGACCTGGGTGAGGAGGCGGTCCCAGGAGCACTCCAGCACCTGGCGGACGGGGAGGAGGGAGGGAGGGAGGGCGACGATGAGTCACGCTCGCACACACTCGCGTCACACACTCGCACACACTCGCACACACACAGTCACACGCTCGCACACACACAGTCACACGCTCGCACACACACAGTCACACACACACACACAGTCACACAGTCACACACTCGCACACACACAGTCACACACTCGCACACACTCGCAAACACTCGCACACACTCGCAAACACTCGCACACACACAGTCACACACTCGCACACACACAGTCACACACTAGCACACACTCGCACACACACAGTCACACACTCGCACACACACACAGTCACACACAGTCACACACTCGCACACACACAGTCACACACACAGTCACACACTCGCACACACTCGCACACACACAGTCACACACTCGCACACACACAGTCACACACTCGTACACACACAGTCACACACTCGCACACACAGTCACACACACACTGACACGCGCTCACGACGCGTCACACACACTCACACTCGCACACACCGACATGGACTCCCACTCACGACGCATCACACTCGAACACGGCACTCACACACAGTCAACAACAACAACCGCCATTCGCCACTAAGTGGCAGTGACGTCACCACGACACTTGTGCCAGGCCATGTGCACCGTGAGGCCACGTGAAGTGTCGAACACCCGCTGGCAGGAGGTCACGGGGCAGACCCAGGTGGTGCCACGGGTCGACTGACTGAGATGACTGGCTGATGGACCACCTGTGCCCCCTACTGTGACAACCTGCTGTGCTTTAGCCACCCGGCGCTCCGCTCGTTGTTGTGAGCGTCGCTCCTCCGCCCTCCGTTGTTGTTGGAGGGCAACTACCTCCAACTGCCCAGTAGCATCCTTCACGAGCCTCCTCCACAGAGGTCGATCTTGACACCGCTCGTACCAGTCATCGGCAAGTCCACTCAGCTCCACGTCCTCCTGTACCACATCACTCCATCTCTTCTCTAGCCCGTGCCGCGCCCGCTTAGCCCCCTCAATCCGGCCGAACAAAAGCTGTTTCGGCATGCGTTGGCTGGGCATGCGGGCTACATGACCCAGCCATCGCAGCCTTGCCCGCCGGAGGAGCTCACCAATGGGACCTTGCCCAGATCTTTCAAGGATTTGTGAGCTCCTCACACAATCCAGTCTGGTTAAACCCAGGATGGATCGTAGGCAGGCCAGCCTAAATGTTTCTAACCGGCGAAGATGTTCCATTAGGGGGGTCCACGTTTCGCAAGCGTAGAGAAGGGAGGGAATGACCGTGGCCGAGAAGACCTGAAGCTTAGTGCGGAGCGACAGACCAGGTAGCTTCCACACAGCGTTACGCAACCGATGAAAAGATATTGCCGCTCGACTGATTCGGAGTGAGACCTCTGCTGTTAAACTGGAGCCGGTCATAAGCACACTACCCAGATATGGGAAACTCTCCTCTCTCTCCACAACTGCTCCATCACCGATTGGGAGTTTTGGGGGTGGAGTGTCCGATGGTACAAAATACCCAGGCAGGTGCTTAGTTTTGGTGGGGCTGATGGTAAGGCCCCACCTCTTAGTGGCACGCTCCAGTCTCAGCAGCAGCGTCTCACACACAGTCACACACTCGCCCACACACAGTCACACACAGTCACACACTCGCTCACGATGCCTCACACTCGCACACTCACAGTCGCACACAGTCACACACACAGTCACACACTCGCCCACACAGTCACACACAGTCACACACTCGCCCACACACAGTCACACACTCGCCCACACACAGTCACACACAGTCACACACTAGTCCACACACAGTCACGCACAGTCACACACTCGCCCACACACAGTCACACACTCGCCCACACACAGTCACACACTCGCCCACAAACAGTCACACACTCGCCCACACACAGTCACACACTCACCCACACACAGTCACACACTCGCCCACACACTCGCCCACACACAGTCACACACGCACAGTCACACACAGTCACACAGTCACACACTCACAGTCACACACAGTCACACACTCGCCCAGACACAGTCATACACTCGCCCACGCAGTCACACACTCGCTCACACACAGTCACACACGCACAGTCACACACAGTCACACAGTCACACACTCAGTCACACACAGTCACACACTCGCCCAGACACAGTCACACACTCGCCCACGCACAGTCACACACTCGCCCACGCAGTCACACACTCGCTCACACACTCGCTCACACAGTCACACACACAGTCACACACACAGTCACACACTCGCCCACACACAGTCACACACTCGCCCACACACAGTCACACACAGTCACACACTCGCCCACACACAGTCACACACTGGCCCACACACAGTCACACACTCGCCCACACACAGTCACACACAGTCATACACTCGCCCACACACAGTCACACACTCGCCCACACACAGTCAAACAGTCGCCCACACACACTGTCACACACTGACCACCCCCCCAACGCGCTCACCTCGAAGGTGATGTAGTACTGCATCTGGTGGATGAAGTGCATCATCTCGGACGCCAGCACGTAGCTCTGCTGCAGCACGCCCGACAGCTCTGGCCAGCGGCACGGGGCAAAGGGAGACAGCGAGGGGGGAGGGGCGAGGTGGAGGGGTGTGGGGAGGGGAGGGGAGATAAGCGATATAAAAAAAAAAACTTTTTTAAAAACGCGCTTTGATGAAACGTACCGCACTCGTAATGTAAGCACTCCACGACTCCAGCAAGTGGCCATGAAGCTCGCCAATTACAGCCAACGTCAGTTGCGCGTGGACAATTAAGAGCCAAGCCGAAACATGCCACGTAAGAATGTTTAAAAATATATATTTTTGTCGTCGGTATGACATTGGTATACCAAGTATGCAGTCGATACCACATTGGGAAGTGGGTTACAATCGAGTTACAAGATTTGAGGATACAACAACAACAACAGACAGAGTGAGTTCAATAAAATATATAATTTTAATAATAGAATCTAGTTATCGTCATCGGTATGACATTGGTATACCAAGTATGCAGTCGATACCACATTGGGAAGTGGGTTACAATCGAGTTACAAGATTTGAGGATACAACAACAACAGACAGAGTGAGTTCAATAAAATATATATTTTTAATAATAGAATCTAGTTATCATCATCGGTATGACATTGGTATACCAAGTATGCAGTCGATACCATATTGGGAAGTGGGTTACAATCGAGTTACAAGATTTGAGGATACAACAACAGACATAATATAGTGTAGTGTATGCCCAGTTACTTAATCTGAATAGCTCAGCTTATTGGAAAGTATATTGGGTACATTGATTATGTTGATGTAAATTTCGATTTAAAGCTTTCGTGACTGCAATGATTCATCTTCTTTGGTTCTTTCGGTAAAGTCACGTAGAATGAGAATAAAATAATAAATTGATAAAATAAAATAACACAATAATATTCTCACGACGTTTCGGCCACAACACAAGCGGCCTTCATCAGGTGAAGGGACGAGACTGTCTGGTAGGACAGCGCTGGAGTGAAAGAGCCACGTTCAGATCACGGCCTTTAAGTTGAGGCTTAAAGCCTAAAGTTGAGGCTTAAAGGCCGTGATCTGAACGTGGCTCTTTCACTCCAGCGCTGTCCTACCAGACAGTCTCGTCCCTTCACCTGATGAAGGCCGCTTGTGTTGTGGCCGAAACGTCGTGAGAATATTATTGTGTTATTTTATTTTATCAATTTATTATTTTATTCTCATTCTATGTTGATGTAGTTGATATTTAGTGTATTTTTTCACATCCGTTTAGTGTACGGTAGTAGTGGTTATACCGGTAGGAACCTCCTGGTTACTACACCACCAGCCCACAGGGGATTATTGTGTCTGTCCGTCCGTCGTGCATCCAAACATGGGAGGGGTGGGGCTGGGTGGGGAGGGGAGGGTGGGGTGGGGCTGGATGGGGTGGGAGGGGCTGGGTGGGGAGGGTGGGGAGGGGCTGGGTGGGGAGGGGCTGGTCACCCCGTGGTGCCCTTATAAAACTCAACGTTTCACCAACTCACGCCGGCTTGTGCCCGCCCTCACAGTGGGGCATATTGTGCGGAACGCACCACCACGTGGTGGTGCCACCGCCGCTGTTGTTGACTCCGGCCATTGACCGAACAACCCAACGTTCCTACCAGCAGCTCCCTCCCTCCGCGGGAGAACGTGTTTGCAGTTCTTTAGCGTCAACATGTTAAAATTCCTCCTTTGTCAAGGCGCTCTGCTCCTCCCACCCAGCTTAAAAATGCGCTGCCAAGCGTAGCAGTGTTCACCGGGGGCGCTGTCTTTCCGACAGCCTCGTCACCCGAGGGGACGGGCTGCTTGTGTTCTGGCACAAAACCTCGCGACGATTTAACTTTTGCCATTTTATCAGTTCCCCACCCACCCCCGCTCTCTACGTGACTTTACCGAAAGAACCGATAAATACAGGCAGAGTTGATAAAAAAAACAGCGCGTAACAATGAAACAAACTCTTCATCCCATCGCTCACCCCCACCCACCAACACCAATCGTTCGACCCCTTCGCTCGCCGCGCCGGTCGCCCGCGCGCCCCCCATCGCCCCCCCATCGCCCCCCATCGCCCCCCATTGCCCCCCTCCATCGCCGCTCACCGGGCATGCTGCGCAGGAGCTTGCTGTGACACATCTGCCCCTTCCAGATATCCGTGAGCGAGTACTCCATGCGCTTGGCTCTCCACAGGAAGTTAAACACGCGCAGGTACTGCATCATGCACTCCTGCGTGAACACCTGTGCGCGACACGAGGGCGAGAGCCCGCCGCCCCGTCAGGCCTCGTGGTGCTCATCTCCCGTTGACGCGGCTGCTGTGCGCGGGGCGTGCGCGGTGGGTGGGTTCCGCCAGAAACCTCCGGAACTCCGAAACCCAGGAGGCCCACGAAGACGTGGAGGACGTCGGCGAGCCCCGGTAGGCAACGGCAAAATCCGGGGATTAAAAAAACGCGAGCGAAGCACCCGTGAACAAGGTGGGAGGGGGGGGTGCTGGGGTGTTTGTGCGTGGCTACGGCTGTTTATCGCTTGTTCTGACAGTACGTCGGGATGCTGGTCTGGTCATTCCCCGGCACGTTCTGCTTCTTACGGGGGCGGCCACCGGCCTTGGCTTTGGGAGCGAGACCGCTCGGAGGCAATTGGCGCACCGGGCGCTCGCTTTGTGCGGCTGGCGGTCACTACTATACACTACACGACTATACACTACACTATACACTACACTATTATACACTACACTACTATACACTACACTATACACTACACTACTATACACTACACTACTATACACTACACTATTATACACTACACTATACACTACAATACTATACACTACACTACTATACACTACACTACTATACACTACACTATACACTACAATACTATACACTACAATACTATACACTACAATACTATACACTACAATACTATACACTACACTACTATACACTACACTATACACTACAATACTATACACTACACTACTATACACTACACTATTATACACTACACTACTATACACTACACACTACTATACACTACATACTACACTACACACTACACTATACTACACTATACAGTACACTATACACTACACTGCACTATACACTATACTATACACTACAATACTATACACTACACACTACTATACACTACATACTACACTATACACTACACTACACACTACTATACACTACATACTACACTACACACTACACTACTATACACTACACTATTATACACTACACTATACACTACAATACTATACACTACAATACTATACACTACAATACTATACACTACACTACTATACACTACACACTACTATACACTACTATACACTACATACTACACTATACACTACACTACTATACACTACACTATTATACACTACACTATACACTACAATACTATACACTACAATACTATACACTACACTATACACTACACTACTATACACTACACACTACTATACACTACATACTACACTACACTACTATACACTACACACTACTATACACTACATACTACACTACACTACTATACACTACACACTACTATACACTACACACTACTATACACTACACACTACTATACACTACACTACTATACACTACACTTTTCACTACACTACACACTACACTACTATACACTACATACTACACTACACACTATACTACACTATACAGTACACTATACACTACTATACACTACACTACTATACACTACACTATACACTACACTATACACTACTATACACTACACTATACACTACACTATACACTACTATACACTACACTATACACTACAATACTATACACTACATTACTATACACTACACCTATACGCACGCACAGGCATGTAACAGCAGCGGCCGCTATGGGATCAGTGCGAGCAGCAGCTGCAGTAGCAGTTATAGGATCAGTCGTAGCAGCAGCAGCTTTGTCAGGCACAGCAGCAATAGCAGCAGCGACATGACCAATCATAGCCAGCAGCTTTGTCAGGCACAGCAGCAATAGTAGCAGCTACACGACCAGTTATAGAAGGCAGTCTTGTCAGGCACAGCAGCAGCGACACGACCAGTCATAGCCAGCAGCCTTGTCAGACACAGCAGCAATAGCAGCAGCGACATGACCAGTCATAGCAGCAGCTTTGTCAGGCACAGCAGCAATAGCAGCAGCTACATGACCAGTCATAGCCAGCAGCTTTGTCAGGCACAGCAGCAATATCAGCAGCTACATGACCAGTCATAGCAGGCAGCCTTGTCAGACACAGCAGCAATAGCAGCAGCGACATGACCAATCATAGCCAGCAGCCTTGTCAGGCACAGCAGCAATAGCAGCAGCTACATGACCAATCATAGCACCAGTAGCTTTGTCAGGCACAGCAGCAGCAGCAGCAGCGACATGACCAGTTATAGCAGGCAGTCTTGTCAGGCACAGCAGCAATAGCAGCAACTACATGACCAGTCATAGCAGGCAGCTTTGTCAGGCACAGCAGCAATAGCAGCAGCTACACGACCAGTCATAGCCAGCAGCTTTGTCAGACACAGCAGCAATAGCAGCAATAGCAGCAGCTACATGACCAGTCATAGCAGCAGTAGCTTTGTCAGACACAGCAGCAATAGCAGCAGCTACACGACCAGTCATAGCAGGCAGCTTTGTCAGACACAGCAGCAATAGCAGCAGCGACATGACCAGTCATAGCAGGCAGTCTTGTCAGGCACAGCAGCAGCAGCAGCAGTTACATGACCAGTCATAGCAGGCAGCCTTGTCAGACACAGCAGCAATAGCAGCAGCTACATGACCAGTCATAGCAGGCAGCCTTGTCAGACACAGCGGCAATAGCAGCAGCTACATGACCAGTCATAGCAGGCAGCCTTGTCAGACACAGCAGCAATAGCAGCAGCAGCATGACCAATCATAGCAGGCAGCTTTGTCAGGCACAGCAGCAGCAGCGACATGACCAGTCATAGCAGGCAGCTTTGTCAGACACAGCAGCAATAGCAGCAGCTACATGACCAGTCATAGCCAGCAGCCTTGTCAGGCACGGCAGCAATAGCAGCAGCGACATGACCAGTCATAGCAGGCAGCTTTGTCAGACACAGCAGCAATAGCAGCAGCTACATGACCAGTCATAGCCAGCAGCCTTGTCAGGCACGGCAGCAATAGCAGCAGCGACATGACCAGTCATAGCCAGCAGCTTTGTCAGACACAGCAGCAATAGCAGCAGCAGCAGCAGCTACATGACCAATCATAGCAGCAGTAGCTTTGTCAGGCACAGCAGCAATAGCAGCAGCGACATGACCAGTCATAGCAGGCAGCCTTGTCAGGCACAGCAGCAATAGCAGCAGCTACACGACCAGTCATAGCAGGCAGGCTTGTCAGGCACAGCAGCAATAGCAGCAGCTACATGACCAGTCATAGCCAGCAGCTTTGTCAGACATAGCAGCAGCAGCAGCAGCTACATGACCAATCATAGCCAGCAGCCTTGTCAGGCACAGCAGCAATAGCAGCAGCAGCTACACGATCAGGTCATTGCAGCAGCTGCAGAAGCAGTTCTAGGATCAGTCATAGCAGCAGCAGCAGCAGCAGCAGCTTGTCAGACACAGCAGCAGCAGCAGCAACACCTATTGTCAGCAGCAACAGCAGCACCTTTGTCGGATAGAGCAGTCACAGCAACAGTTATAGGATCAGTCATAGCAGCAACAGCAGCAGCATCAGCAGCTTGTCAGACACAGCAGCAACAACAGCAGCACCTTTGCCGGATAGAGCAGTCACAGCAACAGTTATAGGATCAGTCATAGCAGCAGCAGCAGCAGCAGCTTGTCAGACACAGCAGCAGCAACAGCAGCACCTTTGTCGGATAGAGCAGTCACAGCAACAGTTATAGGATCAGTCATAGCAGCAGCAGCAGCAGCAGCAACACCTATTGTCAACAGCAACAGCAGCACCTTTGCCGGATAGAGCAGTCACAGCAACAGTTATAGGATCAGTCATAGCAGCAGCAGCCGCAGCCGCTTGTCAGACACAGCAGCAGCAACAGCAGCACCTTTGTCGGATAGAGCAGTCACAGCAACAGTTATAGGATCAGTCATAGCAGCAGCAGCATCAGCAGCTTGTCAGACACAGCAGCAGCAACAGCAACACCCTTGCCGGATAGAGCAGTCACAGGGGAACAGTTATAGGATCAGTCATAGCAGCAGCAGCAACACCTATTGTCAGCAGCAACAGCAGCACCTTTGTCGGATAGAGCAGTCACAGCAACAGTTATAGGATCAGTCATAGCAGCAGCCGCTTGTCAGACACAGCAGCAGCAGCAACACCTTTGTCGGAGCAGTCACAGCAACAGTTATAGGATCAGTCATAGCAGCAGCAGCCGCTTGTCAGACACAGCAGCAGCAACAGCAACACCTTTGCCGGATAGAGCAGTCACAGCAACAGTTATAGGATCAGCCCTCACGACGTCGGCGGCAGCAGCAGCGAGAGGATCAATTCGTCGTGCACGCAGCAGCCTTGCCATGCAGCTCTGCCAGACTTGTCAGCTGTGTCAGGCTGGGGGGGGGGTAGATGGACCAGGCTTTGCGCTCGAGCGTTACCGTGGCGATGGGGCCGTCCACGTGGTAATCGAGGCTGAACACGTCCCAGCCCGTGTCTCCCGGAGACACCTGGGGGGACACGTGGGGACACGCACGGGGTGAGATGTCCTCTCATTCTCTCAACGTCCCCGTGTCCCTCCGCCTCTAGCAGGTGCACGCAGACAGGGTGGCGGTGAATCTTGATTTAAAGCTGTCGCGACTGCAGCGATTCATATTCTTGGCTCTTTCGGTAGAGCCACGTCGAAGGGAAACAATGGAATAATAAAATATATCTTCTATTTTTTGATTTAAAGCTTTCGTGACTGCAGTAATTCATATTCTTAGTTTTTTCGGTAAAGTCACGTTGAAGAGAAACAACAAAATAATAATATATATATAAAACAATAAAAAATTCTCACGACGTTTCGACCATAACTCAAACGGTCACACCTGAAGATGACCGTTTGAGTTATGGTCGAAACGTCGTGAGATTTTTTTATTGTTTTATATATATTTTATTATTTTGTTGTTTCTCTTCAACGTGACTTTACCGAAAAAACTAAGTATATATCTTTTATTGTTTAATATATGTTTCATTGTTTTATTGCTTCCCTTCAACGTGGCTTTGCCGAAAGAGCAAGGACTACAGGGTGGCGGTAATTCTGCTCCGTCTACCCGAGCGAGCCGATGCATCTCACTCGCTGGATTGTCTCTGCGCATCTGTTCACCCCAGTGCGTCCCGTCTCTCGTCTGTTTTCCAGTCCCCTTGCCCGTCTCTGTGTCTTACTGTCTATCGTGCCGTGTTGTCTGTCCCCCTGCATGTGTCCCCCCCCGACTCTCCGTCTTCTTGTCTCTGTTGCTTGTCCGTCCGTGTCCCTGCGGCGTCGCCGCCGCGTCCACTAGCCCCGACACGTCGTCAGCACGCAGGATGCCGAGCGGAACGTGTGTCTACCCCATCCCCGTGCGTGTGCGTATCCGCTTCCCACGTCCGTGTCTCTGCGTCGCCGCCACCTCCACTAGCCCCGACACGTCGTCAGCACGCAGGATGCCGAGCGGAACGTGTGTCTACCCCATCCCCGTGCGTGTGCGTATCCGCTCCCACGTCCGTGTCTCTGCGTCTGCGTCGCCGCCGCCGCCGCCGCCGCAGCCGCAGCCACCTCGAGGAGCCGAACGTCGACACGGTTGAGGATGTCCGGGCTGTCGAACTGAGCGTTGGTGGCGCGCACGGACGTCTCCAGGATGCCCGTGAGGTTGTGCTGGTACAGCGTGTTGGCTGGGCGCGCCAACTCAGGCCTGCGGCGGCGGGGGGTGGGGGAGGTGGGGGGGGGTGGGGAGGTGGGGGGGGGAGGTGGGGGGGAAGGAATAAGAGGAGGAAGAAGGAGGGGAGGAAGAAGGAAGGGAGGGGAAGGAGGAAGACTTGAAGAAGGACGATGAGGAGGAGGGAGATGAGGAGGAGGGGGAGGGGGGGAGGGAGATGATGAGGAGGGGGGGAGGGAGATGATGAGGAGGGGGGGAGGGAGATGATGAGGAGGGGGAGGAGGGAGATGATGAGGAGGGGGAGGGAGATGATGAGGAGGAGGGAGATGAGGAGGGAGATGATGAGGGGGAGGGAGATGAGGAGGGAGATGATGAGGAGGGGGAGGAGGGAGATGATGAGGAGGGGGAGGGAGATGATGAGGAGGGGGAGGAGGGAGATGATGAGGAGCGAGATGATGAGGAGGGGGAGGAGAAGGGAGATCATGAGGAGGGGGATCATGACGACGAGGGGGGGAGGAAAGGGGAGGTTGGAGGAGGATGACAAGCTGTGATCGTGACGTGAGCAGGGGACGCCCCAACCGGCTGAGTGATCTCCCACGGGCTTCAAGCGGTCGCGGACGCGTCAGAGAGACGACCGACTTTAACCCCCCCCCTCCCCCCCCCTCCCCCACCGGTGCTTCTGTGTAAGAGACGGGCAGCGAGGCGGCCCACGAGCGCCAGCGCTGGCCAAAGGAGCTCCCCCACTCGGAGGGAGCTCTTGGCGGGGTCATTGTGGCCGACTCGGCCACGCCGGGCAGACGTCGGTACGTGTGTGTGTGTACGTGTGTGTGTGTACGTGTGTGTACGTGTGTGTGTACGTATGTGTGTGTACGTGTGTGTGTGTACGTGTGTGTACGTGTGTGTGTACGTGTGTACGTGTGTGTGTGTACGTGTGTGTACGTGTGTGTGTACGTGTGTGTGTGTACGTGTGTGTGTGTACGTGTGTGTGTGTACGTGTGTGTGTGTACGTGTGTGTACGTGTGTGTGTACGTGTGTGTACGTGTGTGTGTGTACGTGTGTGTGTACGTGTGTGTGTACGTGTGTGTGTGTACGTGTGTGTACGTGTGTGTACGTGTGTGTACGTGTGTGTGTGTACATGTGTGTGTGTGTGCGGAGGGCGGAGGCCATCTGCTGAGGAAGTATTGAAGGCGATCCGGAGTCTGAGACCAGGAAAGGCAGCGGGCAGAGATGATCTCCCAAGCGAAATGCTGAGGGAGGGTGGCGTTTGTGCACAGACTGCCCTATATGACATCATAACAACAGTCTGGACCACTGGACGGGTTACGCAGGATTGGAAGGATGCCCTGGTGGTCCCCCTTTTTAAGAAGGGGGACTGCACAGACTGTAACAACTACAGGGGCATCTCACTCCTCAGTGTGCCGGGAAAGGTCCTGGCAAGGATTATTCAGCATCGCCTTGCCAGGCACGCTGAGGAGAGGCTTGCGGAGCCCCAATGCGGTTTCAGGAAAGGGCGGTCCTGCACGGATGCCATATTTTCTGTTCGTCTGCTACAGCAGAGGTGTAGGGAATTCCAACAAGACCTACATCTCTGCTTTATTGACCTGGTCAAGGCCTATGATACCATCAGTAGGCCTGGGCTCTGGGTCGTTCTTCGTGCTTTTGGAGTACCTGACCCTCTGCTCACGATCATTAAGGACCTTCATGATGGTGAGCGGGCCCGGGTAAAACTACGTGGCCGGGAGTCAGAGCCATTCCCTGTACACCTTGGGGTGCGACAGGGATGTCCTCTGGCTCCCACATTATTTAACATCTATTTTGACCACGTAGTTCGTGAAGCCTTCAATAGCTGTACAGGGGGAATCTCCATATGGTACAGATATAATGGGAGGCTAATCGATGCCCGGGTGCGGTCAAGGGATGGCTCCCTATTGCTCAACCACGTTATGTATGCTGATGATTTGGTAATAGCTGCTCAGTCAGAGGAGGAGTTGGAGACGCTGCTGCTGAGACTGGAGCGTGCCACTAAGAGGTGGGGCCTTACCATCAGCCCCACCAAAACTAAGCACCTGCCTGGGTATTTTGTACCATCGGACGCTCCACCCCCACAAATCCCAATCGGTGATGGGGCAGTTGTGGAGAGAGTGGAGCGTTTCCCATACCTGGGCAGTGTGCTTATGACTGGCTCCAGTTTAACAGCAGAGGTCTCACTCCGAATCAGTCGAGTGGCAATATCTTTTCATCGGTTGCGTAACGCTGTGTGGAAGCTACCTGGTCTGTCGCTCCGCACTAAGCTTCAGGTCTTCTCGGCCACGGTCATTCCCTCCCTTCTCTACGCTTGCGAAACGTGGACCCCTCTAATGGAACATCTTTGCCGGTTAGAAACATTTAGGCTGGCCTGCCTACGATCCATCCTGGGTTTAACCAGACTGGATTGTGTGAGGAGCTCACAAATCCTTGAAAGATCTGGGCAGGGTCCCATCGGTGAGCTCCTCCGGCAGGCAAGGCTGCGATGGCTGGGTCATGTAGCCCGCATGCCCAGCCACCGCATGCCGAAACAGCTTTTGTTTGGCCGGATTGAGGGGGCTAAGCGGGCGCGGCACGGGCTAGAGAAGAGATGGAGTGATGTGGTACAGGAGGACGTGGAGCTGAGTGGACTTGCCGATGACTGGTACCAGCGGTGTCAAGATCGGCCTCTGTGGAGGAGGCTCGTGAAGGATGCTACTGGGCAGTTGGAGGCAGTCGCCTTCCAACAACAACGGAGGGCGGAGGAGCGACGCTCACAACAGCGAGCGGAGCGCCGGGTGGCTAAAGCACAGCAGGTTGGCACAGTAGGGGGCACAGGTGGTGCATCAGCCAGTCATCTCAGTCAGTCGACCCGTGGCACCTGGGTCTGCCCCGTGACCTCCTGCCAGCGGGCGTTCGACACTTCACGTGGCCTCAGGGTGCACATAGCCTGGCACAAGCGTCGTGGTGACGTCACCGCCACTTAGTGGCGAATGGCGGTTGTTGTGTGTGTACGTGTGTGTGTACGTGTGTACGTGTGTGTACGTGTGTGTACGTGTGTGTACGTGTGCACGTGTGTGTGTACGTGTGTGTACGTGTGTGTGTACGTGTGTGTGTACGTGTGTGTGTACGTGTACGTGTGTACGCGTACGTGTGTGTGTGTACGTGTGTGTACGTGTGTGTACGTGTGTGTGTGTGTGTACGTGTGTGTGTACGTGTGTGTGTACGTGTGTGTGTACGTGTGTGTACGTGTGTGTGTGTACGTGTGCGTGTGTACGTGTGTGCACGTGTGTGTGTACGTGTGTGTACGTGTGTGTACGTGTGTGTGTGTACGTGTGCGTGTGTGTGTGTACGTGTGTGTGTACGTGTGTGTGTGTGTACGTGTGTGTACGTGTGTGTACGTGTGTGTGTGTACGTGTGTGTGTACATGTGTGTGTGTACGTGTGTGTGTACGTGTGTACGTGTGTGCACGTGTGTGTGTACGTGTGTGTACGTGTGTGTACGTGTGTACGTGTGTGTGTACGTGTGCGTGTGCACGTGTGTGTACGTGTGTGTGTACGTGTGTACGTGTGTGTGTACGTGTGTGTGTGTGTGTACGCGTGCGTGTGTACGTGTGTGTACGTGTGTGTGTGTACGTGTGTGTGTGTACGTGTGTGTGTGTGTGTACGTGTGTACGTGTGTGTGTACGTGTGTGTGTACGTGTGCGTGTGTACGTGTGTGCACGTGTGTGTGTACGTGTGTGTACGTGTGTGTACGTGTGTGTGTGTACGTGTGCGTGTGTACGTGTGTGTGCACGTGTGTGTGTACGTGTGTGTACGTGTGTGTACGTGTGTGTGTGTACGTGTGCGTGTGTACGTGTGTGTGTGTACGTGTGCGTGTGTACGTGTGTGTGTACGTGTGTGTGTACGTGTGTGTGTGTACGTGTGTGTACGTGTGTGTGCACGTGTGTGTGTACGTGTGTGTACGTGTGTGTACATGTGTGTGTGTACGTGTGCGTGTGTGTGTGTACGTGTGTGCGTACGTCTGTACGTGTGTGTGTGTACGTGTGTGTGTGTACGTGTGTGTGTGTATGTGTGTGTACGTGTGTGTGTGTGTACGTGTGCGTGTTTGGTGGGGGAGCGGTAGTAGCGGTTAGCGCTACGCTGCGCTACGAACCTGGCGACATGGGTTCGTTCCGGCTCACTGCCAACGCCGGTGACAATAATCTGAACCGGTCTTGGGCCTCCCCTAGGTCGACTCGGCCTCAAATGACTACCTGGTGCGGTGTGTAAACATCGCCACTGGGGAGACAAAGGCGTTTCCGGCCTTCATAGGTGCTCGCTAACAGCACTTACCCTTACAGTCTGTTAAGGTTAGACGGGGGATCTTTATCTTTGTGTGTGAGGAGCGGCATCGGCCAGTCATCTCAGTCAGTCGACCCGTGGCACCTGCTGGATCTGTCCCGTGGCCTCGTGCCGGCGGGCGTTCGACGCTTCACGTGGCCTCAACGTGCACGTGGCCTGGCACCAGCGCCTTGGTGACATCACCGCTACTTAGTGGCGAATGGCGGTTGTTGTTGTTGTTGTTTTTGTTGGAGCGAAGACGTGGTGGGGGTTAACGCACGTCGCTTCGAACCCGGTGACCCGAGAATTCCATTCCTGCTCACGGCCAACAGCAGCGATTAACTCAACCGGACCTTGGCCATCTCCCTAGGTAGACGACTCGGCCTCAAATGACTACCTGCTGATACGTGTAAACGTGACCTAAACCCTTCGCGACTGCAGGAATTCATGGTCTGCGGTTGTTTCGGTAAAGTCACGTAGATACATTTTTAAAATATATAATAATAATAAAATAATAAACGATTCAATAATTTAAAAAACAAAACTAACGACGCTTCGATGGCAACACGAGCAGTCGTCATCGGGCGGAGAGAACAGGAAATAAACGCCGTGAGTTGTGTTTTAAATTGCAATTATTTTCACTATCCTCATCTCATCATTTTAATACCTGCGTGACTTTTACCGAACAGAACCAGAGAATGTTGCGCGTGTGAACATCACCACCGGGGAGGCAAAGGCGGAGGGGGGGGCGCTTACAGCACTTTCCCCAAAAGTCTGCTCTGGGTACGCGAGCGTCTGAGCGAGAGACTCACTTGAGCAGGTCCATCAGGTGGCGTACGCCAGGGGTCTCCCCCCCCCAACCCCCGGGGCTACGGTACCGCTACCGGTCCGTGGCCTGTTAGGAACCGGTCCGTGGCCTGTTAGGAACCGGGCCGCACGGTGGCAGCAGGAGGAGGTGGTGAGAGTTGTGAGTCCGAGCGCGTGGCCCGCCCTCCGCCATTGTTTTATTATTCACCGCTTCCGTCCGCGCCTCTTCCCCGCACGGAGCGCTTGTCACGGTCACGTGGTTGTCGGTAAGCCCCACGAGCTCTAACCCCCCCTAAGCAGCCACAACGAGTAAAACAAATTATAAAACGCCACTGGAGATCTTCTTTGAAAAGTGGGAAAAGACCCAACGATGAACCACCCCCCACCCCCACCCCACCCACCCCACCCCGGTCCGTGAAAAAAACTTGTCCCCCACGAAAACCGGTCCCTGGTGGTGCCAAAAAGTCTGGGGACCGCTGCCGTACGGTGTCCGCCTCCCTCCTTCCCCCTTGCGCCTCTGTGCGCGCGCGAGCGAGCGAGCGAGCGAGCGAGCTTCACCGTGCGAGGAAAAGCACCTGCCGGAGACTGAGCGGCCAACCGAGAGGCGGGCGTGGGACCCTCTGAGAGGGGAGCGAGCGAGAGACTCACTTGAGCAGGTCCATCAGGTGGCGTACGAAGTCGCCCTGCCCAAGCAGCAGGTAGCGCCTCATCGCCTGCATGTGCTCCATGAGATGGTAGCGCGAGTTGAGCGTGTCCAGCAGGTGGTGGCTCGTGCGGGCGTACACCGTGTCGATCTGCAGCTGGGACCACTCCCACTCGATGTCTGCACAAAAGACAAAGGTCCGTACGTCCGTACGTCCGTCCGTCCGACGGCCTTGAGAGCGCTGTTGGAAAGCAGCACCTGCTGACGTTGACACACTGCACCAGGTGATCAATTGCGGCCGGCTTGACCCTTAGGGGTGGCCCAGAACAGGTTCCAAGCATTCGCCACGACTGTTTGTCCGCGAGCGGGAGTCGAACCCGGGGCCGCCAGGTTCGTAGCGCGGCGCGGACCACTGCGCCACCGCTCCCCAAAGACAAAGATCCTCCCCCCCCCCGCTGTGTAGCCTCAACAGACTGTTGGGGCAAGTGCTGTTAGCGAGCGCCTATGAAGGCAGGCGCGGTGGCACACGAGGGAGGGGGGGGGGGGGGGGGGGTGGGTGACCGACACCACGCCCGGCCGCCTTTTTCTCCCCAGTGGCGATGTTTACTATACACAACCGCAAAGCTACTCATTTGAGGCCGAGTCGACCTAGGGGCGGCCCAGGACCGGTTCAGACGATCGTCAACGGCGCTGGCCGCAAGCGGGAATCGAACCCGGGGCCGCCAGGTTCGTAGCGCGGCGTGGCGCTAACCACTGCACCACCGCTCCCCCCCCCACCACACACGCACGCACACACAAAACAAAGATCCCCCATATAGCCTTAACAGACTGTAGGGGCAAGTGCTGTTAGCGAGCACCTATGAAGGCCGGAATGGTACACGAGGGGGTGGGTGGCCAGCACCACGCCCGACCGCCTTTGTCTCCCTAGTGGCGATGTTTAACACACCGCACCAGGTACTCATTTGAGGCTGAGTCGACCTAGGGGAGGCCCGGGACCGGTTCAGATAATCGTCACTGGTGTTGGCCGTGAGCGGGAATCGAACCCGGGTCGCCAGGTTCGTAGCGCAGCGTAGCGCTAACCGCTACACTATCGCTCCCCACAACACGCACACACACGCACACACACGCACACACACGCACAAAAAACGCAAATTCATCACCAAGTGGCGGCGACGTCGCCACGGCCCTCGCGCCAGGCTATGTGCACTCCGAGGCCACGTCAAGCGTGGAAGGATCGCTGGCAAGGTAAGGCCACGGGGGAAGAACGTCACCCGGTGGACACTTAATGGTGTTAGACTTTTAACCCTTATTATAGTAAGACTTGTTTAAAACTTATTTAAGATATTAGATTCCTATATGTTGAATGTATGCACCATCCTGCCAAAGTAAATTCCGTGTCGGTGTGAACTTACATGGCGAATAAAACCCTTTCTGATTCTGATTCTGATTAATGGCTAAACAGGACGCGGTGGACACTTTGTCCTTGTGGTGTTCCTCACCTCCGTCACCGGCTGTGAGTCCGTGCCTTTGCTCCTTGAGCTGCGAGGTGGGTCTGGGTCGTGTGCTCAGTGTCCGGTCCTGGCAAACCTGGTGCAGGAAGTTGATGGACTTCCCGATAGACAGCACCTGCAAAAGTAAAAAAAAGATCCCCCCGCCAACTCTATAGTAGCACCTGCATGGGGCGCCCGGTGTCTGCAGGTTAAAACGTAGTGAGGCTTTCGCGACCAATAACATGCAGAAGAGGTTGGTTGTTTTTTGTTTGTTTGTTGTTGGGGTAACACCGCGTGAATATGTAAATACGTGGTGGTTAAAAGCCCGCCAACCACTCGGCACAGCCGACTAGGAAGGGGATTGTCACGTACACAGAACGTGGCCAATTTCGTCACTAGTCCAGCACTGGTGTGTAGTGTAGTGTGTAGTGTAGTGTGTTGTGTAGTGTATAGTGAAGTGTATAGTGTAGTGTGTAGTAGTGTAGTGTATAGTAGTGTGTTGTGTAGTGTATAGTAGTATATAGTGTAGTGTATAGTAGTGTATAGTATAGTAGTGTAGTGTATAGTATAGTGTGTAGTGTATAGTAGTATATAGTGCAGTGTATAGTAGTGTAGTGTATAGTATAGTGTATAGTAGTGTAGTGTATAGTATAGTGTATAGTGTAGTGTATAGTGTAGTGTATAGTGTAGTGTGTTGTGTAGTGTATAGTGTAGTGTATAGTGGTGTAGTGTATAGTGTAGTGTATAGTAGTGTATAGTGTAGTGTATAGTGTAGTATGTTGTGTAGTGTATAGTGTAGTGTATAGTGTAATGTATAGTGTAGTGTATAGTGTAGTGTGTTGTGTAGTGTATATTGTTAAGTGTAGTATGTTGTGTAGTGTATAGTGTAGTGTATAGTGTAATGTATAGTGTAGTGTATAGTGTAGTGTGTTGTGTAGTGTATATTGTAGTGGATAGTGTAGTGTATAGTAGTGTATAGTAGTGTAGTGTATAGTGTAGTGTAGTGTATAGTGTAGTGTAGTGTATAGTGTAGTGTAGTGTATAGTAATGTAGTGTATAGTAGTGTAGTGTATAGTAGTGTAGTGTATAGTAGTGTAGTGTATAGTGTAGTGTATAGTATTTTAGTGTATAGTAGTGTAGTGTATAGTACAGTGTATAGTGTAGTGTATAGTGCAGTGTATTGTGCAGTGTATAGTGCAGTGTATAGTGTAGTGTATAGTAGTGTATTGTGCAGTGTATAGTGTAGTGTATAGTAGTGTATAGTGCAGTGTATAGTGTAATATATAGTGTATAGTGTAGTGTATAGTGGTGTATAGTAGTGTATAGTGCAGTGTATAGTGTATAGTGTAGTGTATAGTAGTGTAGTGTTTAATAGTGTAGTGTATAGTGTAGTGTATAGTGCAGTGTATAGTGCAGTGTATAGTGTAGTGTATACTGTAGTGTACAGTGTAGTGTACAGTGTAGTGTACAGTGTAGAGTGCAGTGTGTAGTGTAGTGTATAGTAGTGTAGTGTATAGTAGTGTAGTGTATAGTGTAGTGTATAGTAGATACTACAAAAGAGTCAGTGGATACTAATCCCTCTATAGTAGACACTACAGTAGAGTCAGTGGATACTACTGCCTCTATAGTAGACACTACAGTAGAGTCAGTGGATACTACTGCCTCTATAGTAGACACTACAATAGTCAGTGGATACTACTGCCTCTATAGTAGACACTACAATAGTCAGTGGATACTACTGCCTCTACAGTAGATACTACAGTAGAGTCAGTGGATACTACTGCCTCTATAGTAGATACTACAATAGAGTGGATACTACTGCATCTATAGTAGATACTACAATAGTCAGTGGATACTACTGCCTCCATAGTAGACACTACAACAGTCAGTGGATACTACTGCCTCTATAGTAGATACTACAACAGAGTCAGTGGATATTACTGCCTCTACAGTAGATACTACAGTAGAGTCAGTGGATACTACTGCCTCTATAGTAGATACTACAATAGAGTGGATACTACTGCATCTATAGTAGATACTACAATAGTCAGTGGATACTACTGCCTCTATGATAGATACTACAGTAGAGTCAGTGGATGCTACTGCCTCTACAGTAGACACTACAGTAGAGTCAGTGGATACTACTGCCTCTATAGTAGACACTACAATAGTCAGTGGATACTACTGCCTCTATAGTAGACACTACAACAGAGTCAGGTGCCTCTATAGTAGATACTACAGTAGAGTCAGTGGATACTACTGCCTCTATAGTAGACACTACAGTAGAGTCAGTGGATACTAATCCCTCTATAGTAGATACTACAGTAAAGTCAGTGGATACTACTGCCTCTATAGTAGACACTACAGTAGAGTCAGTGGATACTACTGCCTCTACAGTAGATACTACAGTAGAGTCAGTGGATACTACTGCCTCTATAGTAGATACTACAATAGAGTGGATACTACTGCCTCTATAGTAGACACTACAATAGTCAGTGGATACTACTGCCTCTATAGTAGACACTACAGTAGAGTCAGTGGATACTACTGCCTCTATAGTAGACACTACAATAGTCAGTGGATACTACTGCCTCTATAGTAGACACTATAGTAGAGTCAGTGGATACTACTGCCTCTATAGTAGACACTACAATAGTCAGTGGATACTACTGCCTCTATAGTAGACACTACAGTAGAGTCAGGTGATACTACTGCCTCTATAGTAGACACTACAATAGTCAGTGGATACTACTGCCTCTATAGTAGCCACTACAGTAGAGTCAGTGGATAATACTGCCTCTATAGTAGACACGACAACAGTCAGTGGATACTACTGCCTTTATAGTAGACACTACAGTAGAGTCAGTGGATACTACTGCCTCTATAGTAGACACTACAATAGTCAGTGGATACTACTGCCTCTATAGTAGACACTACAATAGAGTCAGGTGATACTACTGCCTCTATAGTAGATACTACAACAGAGTCAGTGGATACTACTGCCTCTATAGTAGATACTACAACAGTCAGTGGATACTACTGCCTCTATAGTAGATACTACAAAAGAGTCAGTGGATACTACTGCCTCTATAGTAGACACTACAGTAGAGTCAGTGGATACTAATCCCTCTATAGTAGATACTACAGTAAAGTCAGTGGATACTAATCCCTCTATAGTAGACACTACAGTAAAGTCAGTGGATACTACTGCCTCTATAGTAGACACTACAACAGAGTCAGTGGATACTACTGCCTCTATAGTAGATACTACAGTAGAGTCAGTGGATACTACTGCCTCTATAGTAGACACTACAATAGTCAGTGGATACTACTGCCTCTATAGTAGACACTACAACAGAGTCAGGTGATACTACTGCCTCTATAGTAGACACTACAGTAGAGTCAGTGGATACTACTGCCTCTATAGTAGACACTACAGTAGAGTCAGTGGATACTACTGCCTCTATAGTAGATACTACAGTAGAGTCAGGTGCCTCTATATTAGATACTACAGTAGAGTCAGGTGATACTACTGCCTCTATAGTAGACACTACAACAGACTAAGTGGATACTACTGCCTCTATAGTAGACACTACAATAGTCAGTGGATACTACTGCCTCTATAGTAGACACTACAGTAGAGTCAGGTGATACTACTGCCTCTATAGTAGACACTACAATAGTCAGTGGATACTACTGCCTCTATAGTAGCCACTACAGTAGAGTCAGTGGATACTACTGCCTCTATAGTAGACACGACAACAGTCAGTGGATACTACTGCCTTTATAGTAGACACTACAGTAGAGTCAGTGGATACTACTGCCTCTATAGTAGACACTACAATAGTCAGTGGATACTACTGCCTCTATAGTAGACACTACAATAGAGTCAGGTGATACTACTGCCTCTATAGTAGATACTACAACAGCGTCAGTGGATACTACTGCCTCTATAGTAGATACTACAACAGTCAGTGGATACTACTGCCTCTATAGTAGATACTACAAAAGAGTCAGTGGATACTACTGCCTCTATAGTAGACACTACAGTAGAGTCAGTGGATACTAATCCCTCTATAGTAGATACTACAGTAAAGTCAGTGGATACTAATCCCTCTATAGTAGACACTACAGTAAAGTCAGTGGATACTACTGCCTCTATAGTAGACACTACAACATAGTCAGTGGATACTACTGCCTCTATAGTAGATACTACAGTAGAGTCAGTGGATACTACTGCCTCTATAGTAGACACTACAATAGTCAGTGGATACTACTGCCTCTATAGTAGACACTACAACAGAGTCAGGTGATACTACTGCCTCTATAGTAGACACTACAGTAGAGTCAGTGGATACTACTGCCTCTATAGTAGACACTACAGTAGAGTCAGTGGATACTACTGCCTCTATAGTAGATACTACAGTAGAGTCAGGTGCCTCTATATTAGATACTACAGTAGAGTCAGGTGATACTACTGCCTCTATAGTAGACACTACAACAGACTAAGTGGATACTACTGCCTCTATAGTAGACACTACAATAGAGTCAGTGGATACTACTGCCTCTATAGTAGATACTACAATAGTCAGTGGATACTACTGCTTCTATAGTAGACACTACAGTAGAGTCAGTGGATACTACTGCCTCTATAGTAGATACTACAATAGTCAGTGGATACTACTGCCTCTATAGTAGACACTACAATAGTCAGTGGATACTACTGCCTCTATAGTAGACACTACAGTAGAGTCAGTGGATACTACTGCCTCTATAGTAGATACTACAATAGTCAGTGGATACTACTGCCTCTATAGTAGATACTACAGTAGAGTCAGTGGATACTACTGCCTCTACAGTAGATACTACAACAGAGTCAGTGGATACTACTGCCTCTATAGTAGACACTACAGTAGAGTCAGTGGATACTACTGCCTCTATAGTAGATACTACAATAGTCAGTGGATACTACTGCCTCTATAGTAGACACTACAACAGAGTCAGTGGATACTACTGCCTCTATAGTAGATACTACAGTAGAGTCAGTGGATACTACTGCCTCTATAGTAGATACTACAGTAGAGTCAGTGGATACTACTGCCTCTATAGTAGACACTACAGTAGAGTCAGTGGATACTACTGCCTCTACAGTAGATACTACAGTAGAGTCAGTGGATACTACTGCCTCTATAGTAGACACTACAGTAGAGTCAGTGGATACTACTGCCTCTACAGTAGATACTACAACAGAGTCAGTGGATACTACTGCCTCTATAGTAGACACTACAATAGTCAGTGGATACTACTGCCTCTATAGTAGATACTACAATAGTCAGTGGATACTACTGA